ACGAACTTTCAACATGATTCACTAGACGTTTCATAAATCTCAAGGTAGATAGCGCTCGAGTCATATACATTGAAATTAAAAAATTGCTTAAATTTTAAAGACAAAAGTTTCTTGAACCGAATTCGCACCGATCTAGCGTGCGGAAAGTGTCATTTTACCACGTCAGTTTCATTTCCCACGGATGCCACTTCGGACAATTCCAGGATATTGTCGCACAGGCCTGAAAACAATTGGATGTTTTCGGAGATATTACCGGACGGCTTGAATTTTGACTTTTGTCAATTCTGACGGCAGTGTCAGTAAATGTTTCCGTGTTGTTTTGCAAAAATGTACCCAAAAACTAACGGTCGTGGAAAAGTATACTATGCAACACGTTTGGTAAATTTTTTAAGTCGCTCGTTTATTAATACCTTGCAACTCAAATGTACATCATTTATTGCGACAAAAAAAATAAGAATTTATGGATAAATTTTAGAAATGGTCATGACACGGTACTGACATTTAGTTGATATATTTAGGTTTTCTCTGAATATATATTAAATATATATAAATATATAAAAATATATTATATAAAAAATATGATGAAATATGTTTAGGATCATCGAACTAATACAAAAATTTCATTTTTACATTATTAATTAATCACCAGTGAGAACAAACAATACAGGGCATAAAAAATCGCAGTCAAACATATACGACATCATTAAAAGATGGAAAACAACTTATAGAAAAGAGTTAAAGCTTAACAATATCAAATTCAATGTTATAGTACACGCATATGACTTCGTAGTCCTGGCCAACAGAAAATGAATTTCAGCAAGAAACTAATAAGCGGAATGAAATACCTTCTCAAAAAATCAAAACTATGATTTTGTTAGGAAAAGACCCAGCAGGAACAAAAATAGTATTCCATGTATACTCGGACACTGCGACATCTCATACAATTTGACAACGACTTCGAAAACAAACTGAGAAGCACATTTAGCCAGATATGTGAGACAATAAACCACCACTTTAGACCCAAAACAAGAAAATGCACCAGAATTCAATTCTAAAAATCCATGGCAATACCAACAGTACTCTACGGAAATTTACAAGACGCGATCGCTTTCGAAATACGGATATAAGAGAGAAATTAGAGGTTATAAGCCGATTAGGGAAAAGAAAATAGGAAAAGATTACTACACCATATAACTAGGATCAGGAAGATTTACCGCACAAAAGAAGAAGAATAGCGTTGAGACATCAAACCTAAACCTTAAGAACCCTTATATAATTTGAATTTTGTCAAAATGTAGTTTTAATTACTTCAACAGTTAAAAAGAATTTAATTTGAGCGAAATGAGCGGCGGCACTTAGGTCTTTGGTTAGTTAGGAACCTGTAATTACGTTTGTGCTGCCATCACATACATTACACTTTGACAAAATTTAAATTTATTTGTATTATTATTACTTATTCATATATCTTTATGGTTTAACGATCATCAACCTTAGTGAAACATACACTTTAACTTTAACCGTAGAACCAACAAATACTATAATGCTATAATATGCTTTTAGCACTTTTGTGGCAAGGTGTATAATAATTACATTTTTTAAATCTAATAACCCTCATAGAACACCACACGTGTACTAAAGTAAAACTTTTTCAAAAATTGCTTTGTGGCCTCAACATTGTGTGCTAATAGTATATTATGAAACGAGTAAACGGCATTTGAGTCACGAGTTTATTTGGCACGATCGGAGCGCAGCGGAGCTAGTGCTTAGTAAACGAATGACTAAAAAATTAACAATCGTGTTGCATACTATACTTTTCCTGCAATCGTTAGTTTTTCAAATGAAACGAAACTGACGTGGTAAAATGACATTTTCCGCACGCTAGATCGGTATTTTACAGGCGGGAGTAGAAAAATATATTCTAGAAAATTCCCACATTAAGAAAGGTTGTCCTTTTTTTTTTGCTTACTTAAGTAAAATTCTGAATGAACTTCAATGTACATGTAACATCTTCTGACATCATATTAGTTTTTCATCATTGAAAGGGAAAGGACATATGGTTTTTCCTGGATGATTTTATTATTTTCACCTCCCGAACATACAGTAATCAATTAGATTCCCAACGAACGACTTCCTAAGGGAACAGACAATACAAACTGCTTGTTCATACGCATCGGTTGATATGCAACGTGCCCATTGTATTTTCATTTTCCACCTCTAATGAGGGCTTAATTGAAGCAAATGAGTCGGAACACCTGGTTAACGAGAGGCTCGGACATCCATATAACGTCAGAGCTTTGCATACGCGTGGCGAAGATCACATAATTTTCATTCGAAATTAAAAAATAAGATGCAGGGATTAAAAAAAAAAGTTGGGTGCAAAACTTTTTGACCGGAGCCTGTTTACCAACTTTTCGATGAATTGTGACATTTTTCAAAATAATAATCTCACAAAACTGCATCCCTATACACAGAGTGTTACAGAATGTTGTGAAAAAGATTTAGGTTGAGAGACGAGATGAGTTTTGATACACGCCAGTAGCGTTCGTGAAAACAATTTATAGGTAAAATCATGGAACGCTTCTGATTTTTTGAACATTTTATTTTTTTAGATAAAGCAACTTTTTTTGTATTTTCCGTCTTTTTGTCTCTAGATTTCAAGATAGAAATTAAAAACCTTTTTCCTGCATGTTCTCGGATTTTCTGAAGAAATCTATTTCTTATTAAGTGCTCAAAAACTTCAACAAATATTTTCATGAAACTGACGTGCTTATTTGCGATCGTCGAGTTTTTCTATTTGTTCTTTAGTTTTAGTAAATTTTCAAAGTAATCTGGATGACTAGAATTTTGTTCACAGACTCGAGAAATCTCTTCAAATATTTCTGAATTAGAAAATAACATTCTTCCCTATTCATACGGTTATTGTCTGTTCATAGATATAAGAAAGTGACCAATTGCTAAAGTTTCGGAATTTAAATTTAGGTAAAATTGTGGTCCGTAATAGAAAATAATTTTATACCTACCTGTGTTTAATATTCTTTGGTTTGGTATTCTACTTAGTTTAAGTTTATTAGTAATCATTCTTATTTCGTGTGTAATACAGCGTGTGTTGAATCGTGTGCGAATTATGCAAAATATGTGCGAGTCTAGTGTATCTCAGGAGATGCTCACGACCAAATGTAGAAAACACTATTCTATTGAGACCGAGGAAGTTATAAACAATGTTTATTTGACTTTCATTGAACGTGGTGCTAGCAAGCAAGCATCTTTGGAAGAAACGGCCACATTGACGAAAATTCCAACATCAACTGCATGGAAAATTGTGAATAATCCCATTTCAGCGAGGAAAAAAAGAAGCGATGCGTACATTTTGTCGAGTGTAGATGAAAGTGATCAACATATAATACGGCGTAAAATTTACCAGTTATACGAGGAACAAAGCGTGCCTACATTAGATATCTTAATGTGGCAGAACTACCTTATGGAAGTGTATTCAACATATGGGTTTTAGATTTAAAAAAATTGACAAAAGGCAAATTTTAATGGAATCTTTTAGAATTCGGAAATGGCGACTGGAATATTTAGAAAAAATTAGGATTTACAGAGAACAACAAAGGCCAATTATTTGCTAGGATGTAACCTGATTCGACACTTATGATACCCCGGAAAAGGGTTGGGTTGACTCAACTAATAAGTGTAAAACAAACGAAGTTTTTAACATCTGTGTCTGTGTCTGCTAGGGAGCGACCTCACTGGCGTAACGCTCTATTGATGGCTAGAGCAACTCCGAGTTGACTAAATAATATACTGTGTTGTTTCTTATCAATTAAAAATTATATTATACCGCGTGCCATTCAAATTGTACAGCTTTCGCCATGTATGGGATCATTTTTTATGAATGAAGTTTGGACAATTTTCTCCTACCTGGTGGATAATTTACGTAAGAAAAATGTTATTGGAGAAGGTTTTTGTCTTGATTTTTTTTCACATTTTCCAACCTACATTTTTTTGGTACACCATAATAGGAATTAAGCTACTGAGATAGACTGGAGTGAATATTTTAATGAAATATTTTTCTTAAATTATATTTTAAACACGAACTCAAAGAAAATCATCTATAGAAATGTTAAACTTATTAGAGCTTCAGTTATCTTGGCCTACTAATAACGAAACTTAATAGCCGTATTTATTACTGCAATAGGAAAATGTTCAATTGTCAATTATTTACAACCTTATACAATGTCAAATTACTTTTTAATGCCAAATCCAATCAAATTATAAGAATATGGGGTTTCCCTTTGACAAAGTTGACTTTTAATAATTTAATTTTTGTACTTTATTTTTGTTCACTCTTTATTAATTTATATCCAAAATACCTATGGACTCCAAAATTAAATAAATCAAAACATAAATAACTGTAATAATAAAATTACCCCAGATGAACGAAACACCCGTTATGTATGAAAAATTAAAAAATCGAAAATCTAAATGAAGCTTTAACTTTGTTTTCTATCTTTCGTGGTTTCTCAGTTTAGGGGGTCGGGAATATTATTTCGGTCACAAATAAATAAAAGCATATTATTATTATTATTGTTATTATTATTATTATTATTTCCTGTACGTACTCCCGTTTGCAAATAATCAGACAGAACAACTGTTCTCCTCTGAGTTTATGCATATATATCCATGACCCTTATGACTCTTCCAATTTTCTTTCGTCATCATAGGAAGTCGGAATAGCATTAAATAAAGTTCAGTTTTAGCATTTTATATGCAGATCTTTTGCAAACCCTACAATGAAATTGCTTATAAGAATCAACCCTCGGTCACAAATATGAGCTCCAAGAAGTTGATCACTGGCTTGGTGATTAGCACAGCAAATTGCTTGCAAGCCACTACCGCTATTAACATTGATTTTAATAAAATTAGTTATTGATTTAATTAAATATTAAGAATTTATTATTATAAATGTACATAAATGAGTATTTGTTTGCCTTTTTCAGTACGTGAACGCGGCGTGCGAGAAGCACTTGGGACTACGTCAAGAGGACACGCTAGGCAAGACGCTCCAAGAGCAGTTGGTGTACGATACGATACAAATAAACACGATGGGCTCTTCTTTACTTCGAGCTAGAGAATGGAGTGGTCCCATGACATTAAAACGACGATCGACCCAAGAAACAATCCTCAGTCCGTGCCGAGCGGTGCCGTTCTCTTGCGCCGGAAGGTACGTAAACGCATTCGTCTGTATTAGCCAGGCTATTACGCCTATCCCGAGGGGTCCCACGGGCCGTCGGGAGTCGATAAAACCGCAGATCTATTTAATATTCGCGTTCGCAATTGAAAGCGGCTTCCTTCGGGAACGGTTGAAACCCAAAAGATAAGTAACGAGCATCAGAATTTGTTGAGATGATTGTGCACCTCCCGCCGATGGATTTTGCTTTGCGTGCGAATCGCTAAAATTGTGTTTTGTTTTGTCTTCAAAACCGTGGTTATCATCATTTGACATCGACATTTCATCCCCAGGGAGAGGAAAAAAAGAAAGGCATAGTTTCAATATTTTCTTTAGGGTACAGTTTATAAGTGTATAGGTCAACCAAATCATCATAGGCTACTGTGTAATCTTGTGCACAATTAAACACCAATTGCTCTTAGTGTAAAATTTCATCAAATAGTTTTTTTTTCTAGCGTCTCAAGTGCCGTTTACCGCACTTGATATGGTGATGATATGGATGATATGGATGCTAATGGAATCAATCGCAACCCTTTTAAAAATTGATGAGGTTTTTTCTTGTACTATCTATTTTGGCTCTTTTAATTTACAATATTTACATGTGCTTTTTAATTTTCCAATGGGATCTACATGTAGTAAGTGAGTTCGGTATAATTTTCCCATTGAATTTATGAGTTTTAAATGAATGACATTTACTTTCAGAAAGGCATTAACGCATTACCATACATTCCACCCGATCTCACCCTATGATACCATAACGTATAAGAGACTCCACAAGTGATCTGTATTTTACAAAAACTAAAGACTTAGATATACTCCGCCTTATCGGATAGAAAACGTTTATTTTCCTTCAGATATGGATCAATAATTATTCCCAAATATTTTGCATTCGTCCAATCAATATTATACCCTCAAATTCAGGTCTATTTGCTCTGGTCAAAATAATTCTTGTTAGTAATCAAGGACAGGTGATGTTCATTTAACCAGCCTCTAACAATCAGGAAATTGCCCCGCGCAAATGACCGTGCCTCAGGCCCACCGTCTCCATGAACTAGGAGAATAGTTTTATCAAAAGATATAGTAGAAAGTAATGCATGCATAAACAATTCATTGATATAAAGCAGAACCAAAATGCCACCTTCATTTCTTCACTGAAGGCACCATTCATCCTGGCTTTGTCGGAAAAAATATCTGGCAGATATTCAATGTGTCCCCCAAACCACACACTGACCAAGGACATCAATGAACTTGTCATGATCAACCGTGTCAAATGCCTTCTCCAAGTCTAGAAAGACAAAAAATACAATTTTTATTTAGGTGCAAGTTATTTTGAAACTTCTTTAATTAATGTAAACATTATATCAACTGTAGTTTTTTCGTTATGGAGAATTCTGCTCTTGATAATCAATCGACCATTTAGACACTCTCCCAATAATTTTGCAAATTCGTTAATAAGGCTGATCGATCTATAGTTAGTAATTTTAGACTTGTCTTGAGATTGGGAATTGGTAACAAATTTATTATGGAGTTAGAACTTGTTCATGAATAGTTTTAATTATACTGATGTATGGTATGTTATTAATTCTTAGTGCCCAACCTTTTTTATTGCAGAAATTTGTTCATTAAATCAGCTTTAGTTACTGGATTCAAAAACATCCCGTTTTGGCACATCCCTCGCATTCTTTTTATTATCATGTACTAATCTATATTAATTATTTTAGGTGTGCTCCGAACGTGACGAATCTTTCAAGTGTTCTGTTTTCCCAAAAGTATCGAAAAAATATTTATATATCAATACCACTCAGACAATACTTTGTATACGGCTAATGGAGATATTCTGATAACTGCGTGGGTGTGTGAGTAACCACAATAATTTTTATTACGCGTTTTCTCCCAATCCGGTTGATCCAAATAGCTACTAGATATGTAGACACCCCTGCCTATCTTGATAATACAAAAACGTTCGAAGCAACGAAGAAAAAAAATGGAGATGAGCTATTTAAGGCGCGATCATTCGAATCTCTTTTCCAAAGACCTAGCAGCGCAGCTAACAGTTCTACACTAGGTTTGGATGCGGATACTTTCTAGACTCGGGAAGGCATACTGAGCTCGAAACAACTTGTTCAAATTTGCTTTAACGATTTAATTCATATGCATTAGAACTACCAAAATATGGATCCCCTAAACATAATTATAAATATGAATAAAAATATTATTATTATTATTTCCAACTGAAATGGGATTTTCAGGGTAGAAAATTTTTTTAGATAAAGGGTGAGGGTATGAGGGACTGGCATATAAGTCGAGGTAGTTGGAAAATGGTTATTCAGAATAATTTATTTTAATCAATAATATTCTCTAGTGTCGGCGTAGTTTAAACAGCAGTGAAATTAAACCCGAAATTCTGGTTAATAACTTTAATGAAAAGAAAGCATTATACACAAAATAAATAAATGGAAAAAGAGAATCAAAAGTATCATCTTGCGTAGTTATATGGCCCTGTGGGTTTTCTCTACGAGTTAGATCGGAACTTAAAACAAAAAATTAAAAAACAAATTTGAAATCGAAAATAAAAAAAAAGATTCAGCAAACAGATAGCCATCCACTTATTTTTTACTTGATATCTTATTTTTAATTATCTTTCTAATTTCTAACTAGGTAAGTTTAACGCAGAATATCTTCTGCATCTGCGATTACTTTCAAAGCAACTATGAAAAAAGAGAAGGTAATCCAACCAATGACATGCGCAATGGCAAATTCTCGCTCTTGAACAATATGACTCTGCGGCGTTCAACAACCAACATGGCCGCTGAAAGATAAGTTGGGATAGGGCATTTTTAGGGCAGTATTTCTTTAAAATATGCCCATATCTCGTTAAATTTTCAGGCAAAAAGGAATTAAGTAGAAAGAATATGGCTCTAAGTGCAGGTTAGTGGGTGTAATTTAAAGACATGCGCGCAATTTTTACCGTTTATCTAATAGCTATATTGTCGATCCGCTTACGGCTTGAACGTTATAAATGTAAGTTTCAAACTGATCCGCCTATCATTTTTTCATTTAATGGATGCTTTCGAAGGGGTCCTAACGATGATGGTTTAAACGCCATAAACATCCGAAACTTCACACTCAATCGATTAACCCGCGACATCCATTCAACATTAGTATTGAATAAGCGATGGCACAAACAAAATTAATTAAAACGGCAAATCGACATCGTCTAATAAAAGTCACATTCCGCCTGCCGAAGTCCAGAAGGCCATGATTTGTTGATGTTATTAATTGTAAATTTCGCAATACTCGGATCGATGTCATGAAATTTAATTAAAATGAGAATTTGCAAAAAATTTGGAAGGGCAATGGATGTCGAATTAATTAATTTTTTGATAAAATTTGATCTTAAATAATACAAAATAAGTAGGTCTATCTGATAACTATAAATTCCTTTGGCATAACCTCGACAACAACGACTAATCCATATAATTAACGAAAGTTTTCTTCATTTTCTTGACATCCATTTCCCTAAATTTGGTGGATGTTTATATATCGTAAGTAGGTCGTTTCCCAGTTATCGAATTAGGTATTCTATGTTCTGGTGTTTATCTTTATCTATTTTAAATATAAATCATAGGTATTCCTAAATATAGATTTTATACACACTCATTACTTCCATTTGCTTAAAACTTGTGTGTTCTGTCCTTGTTCTGCCTTTTTTTGTCTAATAAAAAATCTTTTAATGCCAGAAGCACTACCCCATAGGTAATCGAGTGTCCAATTTTTTAAGCCAGCTAAAAATAGAATTTTGCAAACTATTGGAGGCATTTGTTTGAGGGATTACTTCCTAGTTAGATGGATGTAAAACTTTATCCACCCAGCTATTTTTTCGGTCTGGAAACAAAACTGCGGACTTTGGAACTCTAATTCCGTAATTTTGGCCATCGCAACGACTAAAGTATGCATAGGTGCCTTGTCCGGATCTTATTCTTTTTCACATGTGGACACTGTTACTTGATTTCTTTGGTTCCCTTGATTCCCGATCATGGTCATAATCCGGCCAACATTATCGCTGACTAGTTAGTGCCGCTTAATGGAAATAATTTATTTTCGATACTACGTTCGCCATCTGAGGACTTATTGAACGATCCTCGGTCTTTCCTTATGTCACTTTATCTTTAAACTGTAATTGTTTTTATTTCACAAGCTACCAAATTAACCTTTTAAAATGCATATTTATCAGCAGCAGCATGAAGCATCAGAAAGTTCAAAAACGAATGAAATGGCATATCGTGAATCTAAAAATTACAAATTTAAAGTTCAAAATATACCATCAAACCGAGATCACAAACATTGAGTACATATCAGCAAATTTTACATATGGTTTGGACAACATTAAAAAAAACGTGACTTAAATATTCTCTCCTTTCGACGAAAATAAAATGAACATTTATTCAACGCATCCATAAGGTGGGATTTCGGTACATTGATTTATTGTTTTTGAGACAGCTTATGAATACGTATTACTTTTCTCTAGTAATCATAAAAAATGTTGCGTTCGTACATTTTCATACAAGGAGACGTAATCTCAGAACCACTAACAAATATAAAAAAAATGAAACTTAAAGTTTCACTTGTATTTCTACAAAATTATATAGATATACAGGGTGTCCCAGTAAGGAAAATGAAGGCAGATATTAGTGAAACCGGCGGTCCCAGAAATTTTAAAAAATGAAATTCAGTAAATTGGCCAAGACAAAATGCTCTATTTTCAAGTCTCTGAAATTGCTACCAGGCGGCGTAATTGTTAGCTTGAAATTTAAAACTCGATTTCTACAAACATTTATAATGTTAACCGTAGTTACGGTGAGTACTATTTTAAAGGTGAGGTCAAATATAGCTGTTTAATGCTCTTTGCTCTATCTCTGCTAGGAAAGTGGGTAGTTAATATTTTCTGCATTTTGCTAATTTGTTGGTTATTATAATTTTTTAGTTGTATAATTTTTTTATTAAAATAATTATAACAATTGAAAAGTAACTAAAGTGATAGCCCACGAATAGCAAAACATTAAAATCGTTTAGCATTTTTACAAGGGCAAACGATCTGTTGCTAATACTTCGAAATCTACAGCTTTTTTAAATATGCATTTTTACAGAAACTTCCCCTTTCTTCGACTGATAAATACGATAAATTTATAAAAACGGAGTTCTATTGAAGTGGAAATCAGAAAAAATCACGAGTCATGTATTTAGCATAAATATTTTTATTCTATTCTATTAGAATGGGGAGTAGCCATGTTTATTTATCTTTTTAGAGGCTCTTGTTCTAGGCATTTAATTGTAAATTATATCTATAATTTAAAAAAAATGAACTGTATATTTTGTATTTTACATCCTGTCTCTCGCTTCACTTTGACTTTTGAACGGTCGAATTACCAAAGTAAACGGCGAGAAGAAAAGTTTAAAAGTCTATTAAATTCGATGTTTTAATAAGAACCCGCAAAGCATATTTACTTTGATGATTGAGGAATATGATTAAAGCCACCATAACTTGAGATGTTATGTACCCTAACCCTCTTCAGTTCAATTTAAAGTTCTCCGAGTGATCGTGATCTCAATTCCAAACAATTTAAATTTCATTTATATTATAATATAAAGGCGGACTGGCGTGGAACATAACCGCGAAATATTAATCGAACTAAGATAACCAACTATTTTAATTGGAACTTAATAAATAGTTATAGATAGACATTTCAGAAGTTTCGAATACATTGATATCGAATATAATTTCGTTATCACTAGATATTTTTTCGTTGAGGAGTATTTTTTGACTTAGAGGATTTTTTAAAACTCTTACCAGTCATGTCTGTACAGGGTTAGAACTGAAGATCTTGGAAAAGAATAATGGTAAAGAAATGGTAAACAATGGCTTTTTCTAGAAATAAAAAACATTGATTCTGATTTTGGAATTGTGTTGTAGACATGTGGGTAATTTTTTTTTATTTCACTTTCTACTTTCACCAGTGCAAATTAGCATGATATTGAATATTTGAATTAAGTTATTTTTTGTTATATATAGTACAAGAAATTAAACAGTTCATGTGTTACTGCAACTATATAATTCCAAAGTCAGATAAAATTAAACGGGTGGAAAACGAAACATAAGAAACAAAACACTTTCCAAGAGAGTCATAACCTCTACAGCTGGTGTTCTACTACTACCTCACCGCGGTTCAAATATTGCACTGTAGCTCGGATGGTCATGGCGACGGTTACGTCTAGGACGTGCGGCGCCACACATAAGCGTGCGATTTTAACATGTTCATTACAATCTCCCCCTTTGCACCACACTGTTGTCTCGAGTGTGGGGCAACGGTTTAATCACGATGTTGATCCTTGCGAGAGCGTCCACGTTTCCGAATTGGCCGAGTAGGAGCTGGTGGTTGTTCTTCATCTTCAACTGCACGGTATGGCATCGACGCAGAGGTATGGTATTTCCCAACCAGTCTCCGGAGCACTTGGTAAAGCAACTTCGTAGGTAGTCGGGGTAACCACTTTAGTTATGAAGTGGCCCTGGCTAAATTTTGAAGTGAAGGTCTTACTTGTGTTGCTCAACGCGTGAGAGTCTGCAAACACTATTTCACCGACAGTAATTGCCACTTCGCGGCGCTTGTCCTCGTGGTACTTGTTGCGGCGATCTTGAATTTCTTCCTGAGTGTCACGAATTTCGCGCAAAGCGGCATTGATAGTCTTAAGATAGGGTGTGATTTGCGGAATAAAGTTCGCATTTTGTACAATAGCACGATTTGCGTCATCCGGAGCACGCAGTTCACGACCGAGAGTCAGGTAAGTTGGAGTGAAATCAGTAGAGTTCCGTTTAGCAGTGTTCATAGCAAAACATACAGCAGGCAGTTTACTGGAGCATACTATATGGTCGTCGTTAGTCAAGGTAACCAGCTGTGTTTTCAAGTCGCGGTTTTTCCTTTCTACCGGGGTTGGAGGGTGGATGAGGTTGGATAAAATCCTAAATATTCTGCTACACGCTGTATCATTGCGCTCACAAATAATATGGTCTATAAAAGTGGGTGACAGAATACAAATATCGTCGAGGTATGCCAGCATAGTAACATCTTAGATACCAGACGTAAATCGATCTATAAGCCTTTGAAATATATGGGCAAATGAAGGCGGCCTTATCCCTGTCAATGAGTTTGACGCTTATCAAATGATATCCGTTTCGAAGATCCAGAGTCGTTATATACCCTGTTTGTTTAGCGGCGTGAAGGAGATCATCAATCCATGGCATTGGGTATGTGTCTGGTTTGGTGATGGCGTTCAGTGCCCGGTAGTCGACCTTAAGACGAACTTCTTTGCTCTTATTGGGGACAAGCACGTGAGGCATATGGTGAATCGCACTCTTCTATGTAATCACGTTCGAACAATTTGTCTAATTCCTTGCGTAAGATTTCTTTTTTCGGTTTTGACATCCTATATGGTGGTACCGCGATAAGTGTGTCATCAGTTCATCAGAAGGCACGAAAAATTCAGAAAGTAGGGAGTTAAGTATGTTCCGTTCTTCTTCATTAAGCGCGTGTCCTTCATCATCACGTAAAGTGAGATTTTCGTGCTTCACAGCATTAATTAGACAGGAGCTGTCAAAAGAGAATGACGATTGGGAATCTACTCGGAAGTGATATCGATTGTGTGCACAAGGTTAGCCGATGTTATAAAATTGATTCCAAATAGCGTTGGACTATTTTTATGTTCAGGCACTAAAATGTTTTGTATTGCAAAGTAATATCAACAGTGAATATCATGGCATCCTCTTCTGGCTTAACACCGTCTGCTAAAGTCATAAGCATATTTTCGGTGGCTTAAGATGTACTATCTAGCGTATCCTTTGTTCACAGTGATTGGCACTCGTCAATCGCATGTCCCGCATATTTGCAATACGAACAGCGAAGTTTCTTGAAGGAGTTTGCTTCGTTTGGCGCTTCTGAGTCACTAGAAATGTCGAAGGTTTCTTCCACAAGGCGCGCCTGAGTGAGTAATTCACTAAACGTAGTGACTGCATCGCGTGATACTTTTTCCCGAATTTTCCGGAGCAAAAATCCGTAAGACCATGTCCATCTGTATTTGTTCTAAGGGGGTACCGGGAGGTAGTTGTGCTAAGATAGACCGTGCTTTACTTCTTGTTTGTGTTCAAAGTTGACTTAACTCCCGGGCACCAAGTGGCAGCAAAAGCGTCTAAGATCATGGGCAACCCTTTTAGAGCATTTTCGTTTGAAATATCGGTACAGTCTTTGTACACTTATACACTTCTTTAACGTCTGCGTCTGATGAGCCGTTAAAAAGCGAGCTACATTTAGAAAAATTGCCTATTTGAGCCTTGACTTTCCCCGAGAATCCTGGGATATCCCACCGAAGTATCCGCATTGAATCAATAAACACCCTCTATATATGAATTTTCTTGCATAGTAAAACTTTCAGTGAAATAGCCATCTGGTTATAAATATAAAACTTTTAGTCGCAAAGTTAGATATTTTGTTGTCAAAATAAAGTATGAATTGTAACCAAAACTATTCTGTTTGTTTTAAATATTATTCATAATGATTGATAATTAACATTTATGTAATTAATTAGATTTTCTCTTCAGTACTCTTAAAGTTGGAACCTGTTTAATATTACATGGAAACATATTTCATAATTTCAAATCTTTTTAAGATAATAATTTTTGCGTTTTAGTTTTGTTAACAATTTTGTATTATTTGTATGAATTTTATTTACATAAGCTATTTTAATCAACTTATATCCAGCTACCATATGTAATATTTTATATATCTAGTCTAACATGTCCCTAACTTTAGCGTATCAGTTAACTTTGAATACAATTTCCATTGCTCGATTTGGTTTCTATTGGAACATGTCACATAATTTTCTTGTATATGTTAAACCTAGGAAGCATAGAAATATATATAGGGTGGCCAATTAAGAAGGGTACTATTTCGAACAGTAAAAGACTTATTGAGAAAATGTTAATAACTTCATAATGGCTGAACGCATTTTGTCAAACTGTTATTGAAAAGGGCTCCTTTTAGAATACATTTTTGTCTCCACAAGACTTTACGACAAATACTTTTCGATGTAGAGCCGAGTGTCTTTAACTGGTTACCCAGTATACTAATTCTTTTAAGAAAGCTTATTTTTTTATAGTCAACAATCAACCTTAGGCATATATATATTCCTGTACAATTTGTAATTGACTCTCAAAATGTTTTTAACTCAAAATTTGCAGTTTGCTTTTTTAATCAAGTCTTAAATATGGTCCCTTTGTTTTTTTCAGTATTTACAAATAATTTATTAGATTTTAGATCGAACTGAACTTTAATATAAATATTTATTTTGCAGAATGCCCACCCATTTCGTATTGGTCTTCGACATAAACTCGATCGATCCCAACATCCTATCCCAATCGAGGGGCAGCATCCACTCTATACGAAGGGGTTCTACGGATGTGAGAAGTGTCGGTAGTGATTTTTTAAGAAGGACTTCTTTAGCTAAATTAAACGCGCTTCCTCTGGAAGCTCCCATAACTAAGGTAGGTTTCTTTAGGATATTTTTCAATAGGTATCGCTCACTTAAACGAATAATGAAAACAATTTTTGATTGATATACTCGCATGAACAAAGGCAATTTGCGGTGTTATTTATTTGAAAGCAAACACCGCGTCATTTATCAAACGACTATTTTATTTCTATTAAGGATAATCTATTAATAATAATAATGGTAACAAAATGTTGTTATTTTGGTACAAACAGAAATTCATAATATTATTATTAATTATATATAAAAATATAAGCACTTTTAACACCAAAAGTAAAGAAATAGAAAATCTGTATTACAAAAATGTTCACGCAGATACCGGACGTAGAGCTTAAAAGAGCTGGATTAAAATCCTGCGCTGATAGAAAAAACTACTAGTTAGTAAGATTAATGGACGAAAATGATTTAATTTTGCAAAACAATACAGAATTGGTGGAATGGACTTTTAGAATAAAGTAATATTCGCTAATGAAAGCAACCTTAACGTATTTGGGTCGGTGTGGCCAAAAACCGAAAAAGCATTAAGTCCTAAAAATGCAATTAAAAAGAAGTATGGAGTTGGAGGCATAGTGGTATGGGAAAGTATGACTGAATCAGGTGTTTTAAGAGAAAATCTGCAATAGAATGCACAAAAACTTGGGTTAGATGGTGACTATTATTTTTAGCAAGACAACGGTCCAAAGCACACTGCTCATATTGGTGTCGTGAAGGCGACTTTACAATACTCGTCGCAGTCTTAAAACTCGGTGTCATCAGCAAAAATAAATTAATAGAAATGTTATTAGAAGAATGGGAAAAAATATTGGACGAAATAACCCAAAAGCTAGTGCAGTCTATGCCAAGATATCTTGCAGTTCTCATAAGTTTAAAAAGTCACCCAAGGCAATGTTAATAGAATATTATAAACTGGTTTTCTTCTATTCATAAATTCTTAATTCACTGTTGGTTTGTAATTATCCAGAAATTTGCAGTTCAAAATGATCACATTTTGTTTTATAATATGTAATAATTTAATAGTTTTCAAAAAAATGTCTTTTATTACTATTAAACCAATATTATACTGAACTTTTGTAATATTTTATTTCCTCGATTTTGCTTACGCTTATAATATTTTATTCGAACATTTTTCAAAAAACTTTTACTGTGCGTAGACTTTCGCTGGCAACTGAAATATTTTCGGCAATGTATTTATTTTTAAATTCACTACTTTCTTCTTATTATTTTTGCTTAAAAGTTTGCTACTTCTGCTTAAAGCAAAATTCTAAATATTATTTATCTACTGTTTTCGCTTGTTCAAAATTAAAACATTCACTTAGCCGTCATTTCAACTCTGTAATTTAGTTCGCAGTTTAACAGTAATTGTGCAATTACTGTTGCAAGATAGATTCCAAAGTTTTAAATTTACATTTATAACGTTTTACTTAGTGTTTACTTATTAATAAATTTAAATGGAACAGCGAAAATGAAATTTTGAAGAATATTTTCATTACTATATGAGCATTTTTTCACGTAGTGATGATATTTTTAAAATGTTTAAATTTTATTAAAGGAAGTACGAAGGTTGTATTCGTAAAATACGAAATATATAATTATGATAGAAAGAAAATTAAAAAATAGAAAGAAACAATAGAGCACACCAGTAGTTTTCTTTTTAAACTACTCATTCGCAGCTGCTTTGATGCCACTAGGCATTTTGTTAAATATTTGTCCCTACGGTCTAACTTGTGGACCAATTAACCCCTTTCACCATCCTCCGCCTACCGGAACAGATCTTGAGATGACGAAATTACAGATTTCCAAGTAACCAAAGACCTAAGTTTCACCGCTTATTTACAGAGAGCAGCTAACGACAAAATTTGTGATCCGATCTGTAGATGAGTGCCCAAAGTTAAGTCTTTGGTTAGTCAAGAATATGTAATTTCGTTTGTGCTGCCATGTATAGATGAGCGGCGAAACATTGGTTCGGTTACTTAGGAATCCGTAAATTCATTATCGCCAAGATCTCTCCTGAGAACGGAGGATGCAGAAGTCAGCTATTCCCTCTACTGTAACTAAAAGATTTTTCAGTAACTGCCGTCGTACGCTTACTTGCTCTAAGGCAACAATATCGAAAAAAAAAAGATATTCCGGATGCGTTGTTACCAAACGGTACTCGCAAATTTCCAGATAGTAGGCCTAATCGACCAAGTGAGGGAAACTTCAAGCTCAAACCCGCAGGTCATTCAATTGCTCGACAAGGTGGAAGATATCCTGAAAAGCTCGGAGCTATATTCGTCACAAGTGAAGGAGGATTACCGGATAAGATCAGACGAGCCGGTTGTCTCTGAACTCATCACGGCACTGCTGTCCGTAAGTTGTGACATAGATGTTACTTATTTTGAATTTAACGCTGTCAAAAACCCATTTTAAACACAATCTGGATATAAATTATCTCACCGCGCACCATTCGAAGTTAAGTTGATTAAAGCGTTTCTAAAATCGATATTTAAAACAATATAATAATACTGTTCACTTTCCCTAAAAAATTAGGACTACATTTTTGAAAATAAACATCCCCATTTTTACCTACTGATAGTGACCACTGGTAATGTAATTTACGAGTGCAAATCATTAGGTCAAAACCGTTTATCTGTGAAAGCGCTGTACTTGCTTTGTTTTATTTTATTTTATTTTCAGTCAAAGAGATATTCTCCAATTCGTTGACTATAATATTTTTGGAATAATATAGTTTTATTACTTTTAGGAATTTTAGCTCTGGAACTGCCTGATTTTCTAAACATTCTTTGATATCACCCATTGATTTAGTAACAAAGCTTATGTCGACCTCGACCTTATCTTAAGCTCATGTCGTTATTGATTACAATTGAGAACATTTTTTTTAAGTTTCCAAACCTCTAGTTCCTTTCATAGTTTTTTAAGTTTACCCTACTTCGAGTCGTGGTTTGTTAACTTTACTCTTTTCAACTCCATTAATATTTTTTTAAGTTTTCATTTTTATAGGCCCTCTTTAGTTTTATAGTTTTTTAACTTAACTCTTTTATATTTTTTGCCCTTTTAAAGTACCTTTCCTTCCTTTCACATTTTTTTTAATTCACTCTTTAAAGCCCCTATTTCTCTTCGTGATAAACTTTATCTCTTGAAAGACTCTCATTCATAAATTTTTAATTTTAAGTTTACAGTTTTGAGCCCCTACTTTTCTTCATAATTAAGTTTACAGTTTTGAGCCCCTACTTCTCTTCATAATTAAGTTTACCCTTTTAAGTTCCCTTCATCATTTTTAAGTTTGTCATGTTTAAGTTATAACTCCCATCATATTTTTGAAAGTTTACTCTTTAAAGCCCCTATTTTTTTTATTTCTCTTCATTATGAAATTTACCCTTTTATAGCCCCTAGTTCCCTTCATGTACATTTTCAACCAATCCAAACTTTTGCCGAAGATTTTTGAAATACTATCCCCGCCCGATTGCTTTTACACTTCTTCAGTGACACCCTGTATCAACGAATTTTACGGGTGCTCTGCAATTTTAGCTATTGAAATATATATTTGACGCAGAAACGGTATCCCATAATAATTATCGGCTTACTACCGACGCGAGCTTAAAAATTTCAATATTTTCCGTTAGGGGTAAGTGCACATTTTTATATTGTCGTAAAAAATAGATTAAAGCAATTTTAATAATTGTTTTTTCTAATAGTGATGGCCGGTGATAATTCTTTTCAAATTTGTTACATATACCTTTTTTAGTTCATTTACTATTCTCGTGGTGCTCCTGTTTTTCAGAAAACGCCTCAGCCCACGTTGTCGGCATCATCGAGAAGAAGCAGCAACGACTCTTCAGTATTTAGACCATCAAGGGCGGGACTCATAAAGGTAAGGGTGTTAATTCAATCTATTTTTATTTATTTTATTCGAGAAAATATTTTAGAATAATAAAATTATATTTCTTTGCTTATTTGATGTATTTGCACCCTGTAATTGCTGAAATGTCAGTCCGACACACGATAAATGGTCATAGCGGTAATAATGTTATTAACTTTTTATCTGGTAATAAATCAATAAATCAATCAATAAATCAAATCGATCAAGGGTAGTAGTAAAGAAATTGAAACACAAAATTTATGAATACAAGCTGTTGTTTTGTGTACTGTATAATTGTAATTTTTTAAATATTAAATACATGTTAAATAAAATTAGTGGTCATAATAATCATATCATTCGAGGATATGGTTTTACGTTGTCCCAAGATTTTTTATAATTATTTTCAAGTACATGATTAACAAATTCTATCCAACTGCTCTCTGGTATTAATTCACGCTGAGTTTTAATTACATAAATTGCATGGGCGAACATTTTTGGGTTTATATTATTATGTCTAACTTTCAAACACTCTGATTTTTATGACATCATACGATTGGTTCTTAAAACTTCAACTAGTTGTTTTTTTCTATAAGTATCATCCAAAATAAATTTGTCAATATTTTAAATCAAAATCCGATTTTGTGCAAAAATCGACGCAATTTTTGACATCTACCAGTAATTCAACCATTTTCTTTTAATTTCTGTTGCAATGATTCAAGTAACGAAATCTGATTACTCTCATACATCGCATACATTTTCTTCCTTTCTAGTGAATCCTTACCAAGGAATCGAAGCAATGTTATTACACTTTCCTCCTAATGGCTGCTTAAATCCCTCGGGCGTTTTTAGAACACCTGCAAACAAATTTTGCATACCATTCCATGCGAATCCACTCTGCATTATATACTCGTATAACGACAATTCTCTTACAGCCCATATTCAAATGGCGCTTTTTTTGAGTTCGTTACTCTTTTTCATTCCGGGGTCGAAATTTTCTTCAGCCCACCGTCTAACATGACATAACAAATAATGACACCACTAAAATAAAAATACCATCCTGCACTGAAAACGTTTATAAACCGGCTGTTTATTGGTTCATCGCTCGGTTTGTGGTAGGCCAGGCAAGTCGTGACCATTTATTTATCATTAGTTGGACTATACTAAGTATTATTCTTGCGGTTTTTATCTAATCATAATCCCTTTTGCATTAAAAAAAATGTTTTACCTTTAATTTTACACGGTAATGTTATGCTTTTGAGCCATTTATACAATTCGACCAACCTAAAATTAGCGGATTCGTGGAGTCGGTGTTCTTTGTGGGATTACCAAATAACAGCGATATGTATTAAGTAAAACGGTCAAGAGAAAATTCTGAAAATTATTTCTGAAATGGCCACCAGGGGGCATAATGGCCATCTTGATTTTAAATAAAACCAGGTTCCTGCAAATTTTCTTATATTTTTCGAAAATATACGTCGGTGAACCCAAAAAGGCTTAATGCATTTTAATAAATTTTCCATAATCGAAAAAAAAAATTAAAAAAAAGATATAACTTTTTTGCATCATAAAAAAATCGAATAGGCTAAAATATCATTTCAAGAGCTCAAAGCTAAAAAAGTTGAAATTCGAAAAGCCATTTTTTATTTAATATATATTTATCTCCAATTTACCAAATAAAACGGTAATTCATTGGGTCACTCTGTAGCCCATTTTGCCTACCTAATGTTTTCCCTAACTTTTACAAATAGACTTTAATTTAATTCGGTCTCTTCGAGCACTTAATTGAAACACTTATTAACAATTGCAAAAATTATTATTCCAAGTGTTAATGTGCGAACAAACATCTTCTTTATCATCTCCTTATACCCTTATACCTCGCAGGCGCCGGCGGCGATCCGCGACCTTTTGGAGACCTCGCTGATTTGGGAGTTCGAGATATTCAAGCTAGAGGATTTGACGCGGAAAAGGCCACTCCAACATTTGGGTATGAATTTGTTCAATCACTTTGACGTTTGTAGTGCGCTGAACTGCGACGAGAAGACGTTACACAACTGGCTGACCGTAATCGAGGCCAATTATCATATCGAGAATTCGTATCACAATTCAACTCACGCGGCTGACGTCATGCAGGTAAATAAAGTTTTAAATTATTAAAGCCTAGCTTACGGTTTAATTGTTGCCGTAAATAATGGTTCGGTTTCAGATTGTCGCCAATTTGAAATCAGACAAAAGTTTATAAAATTATTAGAATAGCGTTTCGATTTATTATAAAATTTGTCTGTTTTTTTTCTCGCCGTCAATAACAAAATTCGAATTAATTCACCTCTCCAATGCTCATAATTTCGGGTACGGTTATTCTACCCGCATAGGGAATCAACAATGCCCAATATCAGTACAAGTAGGTTATTTTTTGATGTAAACTAGATCATAACATCGGTTTCTAGTGTTTTCAAATGTAATTTCTGTGTGGCTACATCTGCGTGTGCGTTTGAGTAATAAAAATAAAATTAGTCACAATTTATAAAAAACTGTACGAAGGTACTTTTTAAAGCACAACTTAGGCATCTATATATACAAATCTAGCAAAATATATGGGAAACTGACACACTACAGTTTGTTGTCAATAGCTCCGGGGCCCTCCAATGGATGGTGTATACCGTATATCTTATACCTTTTCAGAAAAAGCCGGTAAAGAAATCTTTTTTTTTATTTTTAGGTACATGGCCATCTATTAGATAAAACTTGATATATAGTTCTGGCAATTTTTTAAATTTAACTTCAATATCGTTCAACATGTTTTTAAAAAATACATGCATACATGTAAATTAAATGGGCACATCCTACAAACGTGTTTGTACATGCAACAAAAAAAAACATGGTGAATCAAAAATAAGACTAACAATGCTGAGCGCGCGACTCTAACAAATATTCAGCCAAAATTAGTATCCCATTAGCATTGCTCCGAACTTCCTTAGATGCTTGATGAATTTTCATAACAGGCCTTAACAACACATGGACTTCGTCAACTACTTCAGTAATCACAAAATAATTTTTGTTTCTAATTAACCATAGACAGTAGAATTTTGTCTCTTATACATTTTTCCAAATGATAAAAATTATGCACAAAGTTTGTCAAAATACTTCTTCTTTCTGAACGTTATGTCTTTGTAATTTAACTTAGTGGTGTACGTTTTTTAACTTTCCTTTGATTTTCCATTTCTTAATAGTAGGAAATAGTAGGACCAAAATCAAAGTGACAAAATCCAGTGTACTGGTTACCTAAAAACTTATTTAAATCGGCAAACATTTAAGTCTCTTATGTATCATTTATTTTGAGTGGCATTTACTCATGGTGTCGAAATCCCATCAGCATTGAAAGTAATTATTTTAAATTTAGTATGTTTCTACATTTAATGAACATCTCTAATTTAATAATTTTCTTTCTTAGATTTAATATTGTGATTATTTAAGTGAATTAAGTTCTATGGATTAAATTGAGTTTGACCAAAAAGTCCAACTGGTTAAAAAATTTAGTAAATTTATTTGTCAAAAATTCAAAGGAAAAGAATTGCATTTGTTCTTTAAAAGTGTTTTATTTATATATTACAATAAGATTATATCCGATCCTGTGTAAAATATATATTTTATTTATATAAGAGTAGCACCGCCAAAGTAATTTTACATTCCAGAAAAAAAATCTTGTTGTCGGGAAATCAGCTCAAAATTGATTCAACTCAATTTCACAATTGTTATGATTGTTACTTAAGCCAACTATTTTGTAAAAAAGGTATAACAGACTCGCTGCAGCAATTTGATTGTAACATAGAAATTTAAAAAAAAAACTAAACCAAATAAAATTAAATAAAAAATAGAATTTGTACATTCTCAATATAAAAAAATTTATAGAAACCAAAAGAAATAAGCGGAGTCAGCATTTCCACGTCCGTTTGTCACTAAAGTCGGGGCCTCCTTATCAAAGACATATTTTTGTTGCAAACCTAGCATTACCATCCAGACTTTTTTTGTAATAGACACCGTCTCTTGAGCTATCGGATTTATATAAGAGAGTCATCACCGAAATCTATAGAAGCTCAGAGCTTTAAAATACTATTTGGAAATTATTTCCACATATCCTCACTCCTAAAAGGTCCAGTTTATTTATCCAAAAGCTGGCAACGAGACAATATTAATTATGGTCAGTCCGTTATCAATATTAAGACAAATAAACAAAGATAGAAGACAGAGAATTCTGACAGAAATAATAATTGAAAATTTGGCAACAAAGCATGAAATATTAATATTAAATACTATGGATGAACTATTTCTTTTAATCTGCTCGTAGTCATTTTTGAGTCAATAAATCAAACCGGTCCGGTTGTATTGAGCACTGTATAATTGTAAAAACATTAAATAAAATTAATCGTCAAGAGTAGTTTGAATCTGTGCTATCACTATCATCCAAGGAAATAATTAATGGTTTTACGTTTGCTCAAGTTTTTTTATAATTTTTTTCCAATGCGAGATTAACACATTCTCTCTTTTTTTTTTCATTCGGATCATATAATTTCTATAGGATTCAAACCGCAGTGATAAGTGGTTAGGTGGTAATCTGAGAGGTATATTACTTAATTTTTTTTATGACCTCGTCTATGAAATGAATGTTATCATACGTTTTGGTTCTTAAAACTTCAACTAGTGAATTTCTGTATAAATCTCTTCAAAATAAAGTTAATACTGATTAAGGAACTCTTGCAATACTTCTTTTTTACTGCTGATCGTTTGTACTTTTTTAGTTAAAGCGCTGCGATAACTATAAACTTTTACGCTTCCTAGGGCGATATTTGTAAGGAGAGGATTTTTTACCCAATTTTCAAAAAGTCTTTAATGGTTTGTGCTGAAAGTAGCACCTAACCTTCCATTAAGGCACAGTGTAAAATAGATATTATTTTTACTTTTATACATCGCATACAATTCCCTGCGAATACACTGTGCCTCACTATTCCTAAACATTTTCATTATGCCTTTGTCACATCGTTCCTTCCTTTCTAGTGAATCATAGAGGAATCAAAGCAAGGTTGACCTTGGATTGCCAGTTAAGTCCACTGTTCTCCCAATGGCAGCTTTCATGTCCTCTGACGTTTTTAAAAACCTGCACATATATTTTGCATTAATAAATGAAATTATTAGCGGATTTTTTTATATGCTATGTCAAAATTTCAGGATTATAGTAAACGTTTCAAACAGCTTTTTAAAATTTAAATACGTACAAACAGTATGAGCCATTGTCCCATAAAAAATATAAATGTTATATAAATTTTACCTTCTCATTGATTTTAGTGCAACACATATTCAAATGACACTTTGTTTTTGGTTCGTTACTCTGCTCCATTCCGTCGTTGAAATTTTCTTCAACCCACGGTATAAACAAACAAATGATTGTAACACCACTAATAGCAAATAATTTTAAAATTTCGAAGGTGTCGAAACTACCAAAATAAAAATACCTCCCTGTTCTGATAAGCGCTTGGAAATCTGATTTTTATTGGTTTATTATTCGGTTTATTGAGGGTAAAGGGCCTTCGGTTTATGATCCCTCAGACAAGTTATGACCATTTATCATGCGCGGGGCTGTACGCGCTAAGTGAATCAGGTATATTAGACTACGGTTTTGGACTTCAACCGAATCCGTCGTTTGCATCTATTGATGTTTATTTTCTTTTTATTTTAGGCGACGGCTGGATTTCTGGAGAAGGAGCGTGTGAAAGCGATAATGGACCCCCTAGACGAAGCCACCAGCCTGATTGCTGCAGCCGCGCACGACGTTGATCATCCTGGGAAATCAAGCGCGTTCCTGTCGAATTCAAACAATCCGTTGGCGATATTGTATAACGACGTTTCGGTGCTGGAATCTCATCACGCCGCTCTCACTTTCAAACTTACTTTGGGTAAGTTGGGATTAACTTTGTTAGAGTGGGAGAGGCACGTGAATTGTTTTACCGAGTTTGCCGACAAAATATTGACTCAAGCTAAGTGACGTCTAGAAATTTAAAAATAAATTTCCTATTTGTCTTTTGGTTCTTTGATCATAAGCTTTGCCACCCCAAGTCTTTACGGCAAAATTTTTCGAGACAGAACCGAGTGCTCTTCTTAGTTGGTCAAATGACACACGTAATTAAAGAAATATATACGTACATATCATTTTTAGTTTGCACTTGAGTTACCTCATGCAGCTTATTAAAATTCGCTTAATTTTTACGTTATTTAACAGGCGACGAACGAGTCAACATCTTTAAAAACCTAGACAGAGACGCATACAAACTTGCCAGGCACAACGTAGTGGATATGATTTTAGCAACAGAAATGACAAGACATTTTGAGCATTTGGCGAAGTTCGTCAACGTGTTTTGTACAAACACGCCTTCCGGATCAGATGCAGAGGTAAGTAAGGTCAAAGTAGGACGCATCCAGGAGTGCCTCGACGTCTTTGTGTATTTCTTCTAGCAGAACGACGACTGTATGCCAATCTCAAACCAAGAAAATATCACTTTGGTCAAGCGCATGATGATAAAATGCGCAGACGTTTCAAACCCGGCACGGCCGCTCCGCCTCTGTGTCGAATGGGCGAGGCGAATAGCCGAAGAGTATTTCCAACAGACGGACGACGAAAAATCTCGAGGATTGCCCGTAGTAATGCCGATGTTCGACAGAGCCACATGCTCTATACCGAAATCGCAAATCGGTTTCGTAGATTACATCATCAATGACATGTTCGATGCTTGGAACGGTACGTCTGGATAATTCGGTTTTGAATTTAATAGGGATAGCAATCTCTGTTGTGCTGCCATCTCAAGACGAATGGCAAAAACTAAATCCAAATTGTTCAATTAGGAATCTGTTAGAGAAGTAGGGTGCGAAGATCTAACTGAAATACGTCATTAATCTTACTGCAGGTGTGAGATCCGAAAATATTACGTTATTATTAAGGATTAAAGTCACGTCATGGAAGTTCAAAATTTACCAAGGTGCAACCTTTAATACTGTTTCGAAGGTTCTGGGAATTTAGTTTTGGTTTGAAAACTGAGTTTCGTACATAATTCCTTTCATTTCCATTGAACAATGAAAAACCATTACATTTGATTCAAAAATATTCATTTTGGTTAGTTTTGATGTAGAGGCCCTCGTTCTTGAAAATCTCAACATTATTTCAGGTATCTTAAAATCCGAGAATCTGGAATTAAATCTTAATTGGAAGTTGCTTGCCTGGAACATATTTTTCTTATAACGGTCACATTCATGAAACAAACATCAAGGTTTTTCATTTTAACCAGGAAGCTTTTGAGAAGAAAGCGATCCAGGTTTTCTATCTAAAAACAAAATTATCTAACATCCTTCTAAAATTTTTAGCCATTTAAATTCACTCTATACACCGCAATGTTTTACCATTGAATTAGAAACTAGTAATATTCTCCCATTCTTAGATATTCTTGGTAATAGAAAATTAGACCTAACAGTGGATGTTTACATTGTCATATCACCATTCGCCCACCCATTATTATTATCAGTTATCAACTCCCTTTTTTGCAGAGCCGTAAAACTCAAATCTCAACCGGAATCATTATACCAAGAATTAAAACACCTAATATCTGTTCTTCTCTCTAATAATTTCCACATTAGAGATAGTAAGCGTTCCATCGCAAAACGGACTTCACCACAACCTTCCAGAGTCCAACAGCAACCCCACACTTGCCACTGTTGTCCTTCCTTACATTCAAAACATTACTGACGACATATCACAAGTTCTTAAGAAATATAACGTTAAAACCAGATTTTCAACTTGTCCAAAAATTTCTCAACATCTGCGATCCGTCAAAGACAAAATTCCGTTTGAGATACCAGGAGTTTACAGCATTTCATGTATATGCGGCAAAGAATATATTGAAAAGACAGGACGAAAAATATCAACTAGGTCAGAAGAACAAAAATGAGCCTTACGTCCACGACAAATAAACTCATCAACTGTTGCTGAACATTATGGTGAATCCGGCATCAAGTCTTATTCGGCCAAAATTAAAATTCCTACATTCTTCAAAGAAAAGGAAAATCAGAATCCATTGAAATCTCTAAACAATAAAAAAATCTATGAGTAATTGGGTGCGAATAAGGTCGATGCGGAAGCAATTTTTATCTTAACTCGTTCAAAATATTCTTAGTTTTTCATGTGGTGTATAGTCTTGCATTATCCCATTGCAATAAGGGACCCTTAAGCAACATTCTATACCATTTTTTTGGCAATAGTTCGCATAATAAGGCCCAACTGGTCTTGAAATTGACAAGAAGACCCAAGTTTTCTAGTGATGTTTTAACGACAAAACAATCGATAAACAATAGTTTTCGATTCTGCAGACTCCAAATTCTCCATTCTGCAAAAATAAAATTATTTTTCTTTGACATTTTACTGCTCCTTGCACTTGCATTGCATCTATATCAGTGGAACGCCTAAGTCAGACTTAACCATCTTACACTAGGTACTTGTAGCTCAAGACTTGTCTGGCAACAATAGCATATACATTCTACGTAATTTTATTATGGCACAATTCCCAGAACTTTGGAAACTTCTCTAGCAATTTCGAACTTGCTTCCTTTGTACTACATATAATACAAAATATTTGTAATTTCTAATTTGACTCAAACAAAGAAATCTACCGAATTTACTTCATTTAATGGCCATTCTTTGATTAGATTTCTGTGCCTGGAGGTTCTAGACCTCAATTCTTTTTTTAATTTTAATTTGTGAGAATAATTCAGGAATATGTTAGATCACTAATAAGGAAAACTTTTGCGATAAGATGCTTAAGGGATCATTTAGAACTGACAATTAAAAAATGGCTTAATGTTAATAATCAACAAAGTGATGTAACGGTGAAATTTTAAAAAGTTCTCTAATGAATCGAATCGATGATAATGCTGAAGTACCCGATTTTTGCAGCTTTTATCGACATGCCGGAACTTTTGGTGTACATGAGACAGAACTACATAAGGTGGAAGGAGTTCGACGAACAGGGTCATACAACTTTGAGCGATATACAAAAACTCCAGGCCTCCATTTTATCACCTTCAGTATCTTCCAATATTAAGTCTGACTAGCATAAGCCCTTCCGTAAGTCCATTGAAGGATATTTGTGGAAAGAATTGAATTTAGTGGTTTCAGGTCACAGCGTTGATGTCGGTGATGTAAGGAATTTTTTTTACTCAACCAACTTCGTACCTTAAAAATCTGACTAAACAAAATGACGCATATCCCTTATACTTCTTGTAAAAAATAAATGTACATCTATTTATGTACCTATTTTTAATATATATGTACTATAAATTTCATATGTATGCATGCTGGTCGTGCATTTATGTATGTGTACCGAACTTTATTCTTTGAGGAATATTTCATGGAAGCAGAGAACCCTCCCACATAAAGTAATTATATACAGGCCGTGGATATACGCACTTTTGAATGGATATTAACACGCATGCTTTGATAATGGCAACTAAATATTTGGCACTCAATTACCACAATATTTTTGTGTAACTGTGTGTCAATTCCATCCATAACCTATTCATATCCATGGATTTTTATGTGGGCTTTATTGATGTGGTTTTTTTTATTTATGAAATCAGTAAGTCGATGTGTAATTTTATTCTTCTAATTATTAATAAAATGATGTTTTTTTATTTGTTTTGTTTTAATTTGTTTCCCATTTGTGAAGCTGTTCACATGGTTAAGTAGATATTACTTGGAGCAACTTCAAAAAAACTTAGTTGTAACGTATTGTATGTCTTGTCTTATGGTTTTTTCTCAGTTATGCTATTCTTATAATGACAATTTAGTTATTGGTCCCCAAACGAATTTGATTAATGATACCAAATCCTACTGAGAGTTTTTGAAGTGACGATAGAAGAAATATTGCGATGACATTTCAAATCTACTTTTCAACAAAGAACATGGCATATGGCAAATAGTGGACTCCGATATTTGAAAACTCAAAATTAGGCTTTGATAATTTTCACCTGTGGCTAGAAATCTTCCATCTTTCCATGCACTTACGGCATCTGGGAAACTTTCAACGTCCTCAGTAACTGTACAAATTTTTCAGGACTGATAGATAATAATTCTCTAGGGCGTTAAACTTAATAATTGCACAAAAATTAAACGGTAAATAGGGGTTTATTTGACGTAAACAACTGCTTATGCCAGGCACACGCGGAGCAAGTGAATGCCCGGCGGCTGACAGGCAACAGCGAGCGTTGTGCGTAGACGGTGGCGCCCTCTCACGCATCATCGTTGTTGTGCGTGGACGGTGGCACTCTCTCACGGATCGTTGCCGAACTACGGCCCAGACTCGCGCTCCCCATTATACGAGCAGCCAGGAGGGCGAGTGTTGACTGGTGATGCTAACACGGCCAATCCTGACACTTCGGCGTCCCGACGATCATCCAACAATCCACTCTGAGAATCTATATTTTCATTCAGAGAACCACATTTTGTAACAAACACAGCTTGGTTTAACAGAATCAACGACATCGTGCTACCGACCGCCTTAGAGAACACGTAACAAATCATAACATTTCAGCCCATAAATTGGCTCAAAACTCAACATAATAAAATAGTTCGATAATCATTAGAACACGACATTGACTCAGAGGCTGAGCCCATTAGCATGACCTCGTCGTTTCTAATGCAAAACGCGGGTTCGGCGGTTAAGGCACACCAGCATGGAACAATCGAGACTAGATCAACTCAAAATATCAATTTTAACTATAACAGTACAGTTTAAACAAAAATTCAGAGGCTGAATCCTGTGGCATGGCTACGACGTTTCTGACGCAAAACACGAGCTCAGAGGCCAAGGCATTTCAGCATGATCATTAATATAGATCAAGTCCGATCTCAAAATTCGAACTTTAAATTTGCCGCAACGGTGCGAACTGTATGCGCATGCGCGGTAGTTGTGCGTATCACGCCACCCGTCGCGAGAAAAACAGTATGCGTTTGAGTATGTATCCGTAAGGAGCACGAGTATGTATTCGTAAGGCATATGAACGCGTGTCATGTAACAACAATAAATGTTCAGTTCACTTTTGAAGTACTCAATCAATCAATGGTCCTTCACCAGCGCAACTAGGTGGTTAATGGCAAGTGCGTAAATTAGTACGTGCACCATAAGACCCCACAAAAAGAATTCAACAAAGTTTAATGATACAACATTACCTTCACTTTTAAGATTATCTAACTCATTCCAGGCCTTTTGGCATTCCATAGGAGTCCAGTCGCCTTTCCATAATCGTAACTGTCCGGCCGCTGCTGAAGTGACTTTTCCCAGCCGAGTATCCAAAACTCGCTGTAATTGATAACTGGTGTCGGAAGACTTGCCAATTATTTTGAAAGGGCCGTGCCAATCGGACTCCAACTTCGATGCAGACACAGCTTCTCGTTTGAGCAACACAAAGTCATTGAATTTAAATACTTGCCTTCCCTAGCAGGGTAATTTGTCGGGTGAAGCATTGTTTAGAATTCGAGTAATTTCAGGTAGACGACCATCGCATCCTAACAATAGCTGTAGGGGCGTTTTTCCCGTACTCTTGTGTGTAGTAGAATTAATAATTAATTGAGTTCGACCGACTAGATCATCCCAATCACGATGAGCTTCCGACTGCACTCGTAAAAGATTTGCTATGAACGACATATAGCTTTCTACTTGACTATTCGCTTGGTGCACATATGGCGTGATGGTGTGCCATTGAATACTCCAATCGATCAAATCTGGATGTGTAGGGAGCTTTTTTAATGAAGTGCCATTGTCCATAATGAAATTTGCTGGGTTGGAGCTCCTACTAAGTGTATAACGTCATTTATCACTTCTGCCAATGTGTCGGCAAATTGATTTTCTAAAGCGTAGAGCCAACAGAACTTCGTGAACGCATCTATAATTACAAAAATATAGAGACAGTTCTTTTCAGTACGGGGCAAAGGTCCTAAACAATCCATATGGAGCGTGTGGAATGGTATTGGTACTTTTGTTATAGAATGGACGTCGATCAAACGCAACATCGGCGTTCTTTTGCGTGTTATACTAAGCAGGCGGCGACATATTTTTTAACAAAATGAGACAATCTAGGAAACCAAAAGTGCTTAGTTAAACTTACAATAGTTTTATCTACTCCGATGTGAGCTTGACCATCGTGGTACTCTTTTACAAGCTAGTAGAGGGATCCTTTAGGTACAAAGTATTGAGTTACTTCTTCACCATTAATTTCAGCCAAATGACACAGTGTAGTACCGATTATTTTGAATTGTTTATGACTCAGTTCTCGAGTAGCTAATTTAACTATCATTTCTTGAGTTTCGGGGTCTTCGGTTTGTTGGACAGAAAGCCATCCTTCAGGCATACGATTTGAGGAAAATTCAGAATCTTCTGTGGCGGAAGGGATGTGAAAAATACGTTCAGCCTTTTGGGCATTTGAATGGTAAGCGGGATTTCGGCTAAAATAGTCAACGTGCTGCATGCAATGGCCAGGCTGGCGATGAATGGTAAAGTTGAAATCTTGTAGGTACATCCACCAGCGGCTAATGCGTGGAATAAGATCTCGCTTATTTTGACTGCTTTTAAAAAAATTACAATCGGTGTAAAGATCGAATGGAACTCCTAACGAAAATGTTTTAGCGCGTTTACAACGGCCAAAGTCTCGAATTCGAAGGAATGGTAGCGAGACTCGGTGTCGGTAGTGGCTTTGCTGAAATGAACAACTACCTGTTTAGTTCCATCTAGAACTTGCATAAGAATAGCGCCGTATCCTCGACTGCTAGCGTCGGTATGGAGCTGTAAAGGTAAATCGGGGCGAAATAATGCTAAGACTGGCTCGGAGGCTAAAATATTTAGAATTTCATCAAAGGCCACTTGTTGGGGCGCTTCCATGACCAAGGAACACCACTTTTAAGCAAATTTGATAAAGGTTTGGTTTTTATTGAAAAGCTTTGCACAAATTTACGGAAGTAGCCAGCAAGGCCTAGGATTTGTCGAACTTCATGAATATTAGTTGGAATAGGGACGTTAGTTAAAGATTTGATTTTTGCGGGACTTGGTCTTACAGAACCAGCGGAAATTAGGCGCCCTAAATACTCAACTTCTGTTTGAAGAAATCGACATTTGTCTAGGTTTATTTTGAGCCATTTTGTTGAAGGACTTTGAAAACGCGTTCTAGCCTTTCGATGCCTTGTTCGCGTGTATCTGAAGGAATTAATACATCGTCGAGGTAGACCAGAGCAATTTTCCCATGAATTTCGCTTTAAGAGCCATGTTAATAGCACGCTGATGATAATTCAGCAATTTAGCAACAGAATCTTCGTGTACCATGATTTGATGGAAACCAGCAGCCATATCGAGGGTAGAATAGTATTTTACATGGCTCAATTGGTCAATATGGTCATCGATTAAAGGTAAGGGGTATCGGTCCTTAACGGTGATTTTATTGATAGCACGGAATTCCACTACAAGGCGGTGTGCGCCGTTCTTTTTTGGCACTAATAGACATGGGCTAGCGTACGGAGAATTGGAAGGTCTAATAATTTGATTTGTTTGTAAGTCATTTATTATATTTTTCAATATTTCTCTCTCGGCAACAGACATGCGGTAGGGACGATAAAACACAGGTATATCAAAAGTTAAATGTATAGAAAACACGGAAGTAGAAATCGGAGGATTTACATTTTTGTTATCAACAATCTCATCAAAACAGAAGCGTACGCACGGGTGTTCAAGAAAATCGCAGCCAATTAGCACGTCGTGCGGCAAATAAGATTCCTCGATGACGTACAAGCGTATTGGGATAAATTTATTTTTTAGTTCAAGTTTCAAATCAATTTGGTGGCGGGCGATGATGCTGTCGCCACTTATACCAGAAATAACCATGTGAGTTTGCGTGTAAAAAGAATGAAAACCTTCGGCGACTGGTGCTTTTATGAGTGAAATATGCGCACCAGTGTCGATGAGGGCTTGGAAATTGAAACCATTTATTTTCACAGAAATAGATCGGTTGGATGGATGTTCAAATCGGATAGGAGAAAGGGCAATATTTACGACGGACTGCTGTGTCATTTCAATAGAGGGATTACGAGGCAAGTTGTCTCGTTTTCGGAAACAGCGCTCTTCTAAATGACCAGTCTTTTGACAATAACTGCAAACGGGTCTGGAGTAAGGGCGTGAGACAGAAGATTCGCGTTCTCTCTTTACTGAGCGAAGAAGAGGGCAAGCGACACGTCGGTACCCTTTTTCACCACAATTGTAACAGCGAATGTTACTGGACTTTGGCGCTACTGTAATGCCATCTAGCGGCGGCTGAGAAAAACTAGAAGAAGTAGAAGGACGCGTGGTGTCACGTGAAGTTATACTCTTATCACGGCTTGTATGATAAAGAAATTTTTCTAAAAACGACAATAAATCAGGTATTTTCTGTAAATTAGCTTGAGCAGCGCCGGCTTTGACTGCCTCTGTGGAAATTCCATCAATAATAACACTAATAGTTTGACTGGCGCTGAGGTTAAGTTTAGTATAGGAAAGCTTTTGTAATTTTAAACGACCATACTGGCCAAAATCTACACATTTATGAGAAGTAAAAACAGCGGCCTCTCGCAAGGAACGGCCAAAATTTAAAGTACCAGGAAAATAGCACAAAAGATCGTCTTTTAAAGCACTCCAGGTTCTCCTATCAGAGGGAACCCATCCTTTGTACCATTCGCCTGCCTTACCTTCCAATGCTCCAGAAATCCTAGTCATTAACTGCATTTCAGTCCAAACCCAAGTTGTGCATCAAACTTTCCACTTCCTCAATCCAATTGCAAGCCATATCTCTACCGGGTAGAAAACTGGGTAAACGAACTCCTTCCATTTCGGCACTCGAAAATTGTCGATTTACATGTCCAGAATTGGTCAAACGATCGGTCAATGTAGTTAAAAGAGCATGCCATTCATTCGAACTTGGAAATACTTCGTCACCGGTCGCCATTTTGGTGGAGCACAAGTAGTAATGAAGCCAATAAAGGCTTAAAATACTGCAGATATCACTAATTTTTCGCTCTTTTTCGAGGGTAATCCCACTTCTGATGATAGATAATAAATCTCTAGGGCGTTAAACTTAATAATTGCACAAAAATTAAACGGTAAAAAGTGGGTTTATTTGACCTAAACAACTGCTTATGCCAGGCACACGCGGAGCAAGTGAAGTGGCGCCCTCTCACGGATCATCGTTGTTGTGCGTGGACGGTGGCACCCTTTCACGGATCGTTGGCGAACTACGGCCTAGACTCGCGCTCCCCATTATGCGAGCAGTCAGGAGGGCGAGTGTTGACTGGTGATGCTAACAAGGACCCTTTTAAATTATTTTTGAGTCCTCCTTATTTTTAGTTTGTAAGGTCTGAAACCTCCACGTTCTTCGGAATTAAAGTAGCAATGATAAGGCCAGAACAGAGTGGTGGGGGCTTAAATTTTCCACTAAATGAGTTGTGTTTGTACCACAGATTTTTTTTTGTTTACGCTTAATTGGGCTCATCTCAATTACGTTGCCGAGGAAAATTGACCGATAACAATTTTTTCACGCACACAACACCCAACACCCGGTGGGAATCGAACCCACAACGTCCGGAAGTTCGAGTTGGCAGGTCATTTCCCGTCGTCTAACACGACCTCTGGATATATTGACAAAACTGTTTCCCAGTGTAATTATTAAAATCATTAACAGTAATATTAGAGTCATCAGCCTTTACAATAATTGTGGGCATACCCAAACTTCCGCCAGGTTTTTCAGACACATTACAATGTGTTTACATGTTTTTAATATAATTAGTCATACAAAATTGATTCATAGCTACTTATCTGCTATAAGCTGTGAACATTTATTTAATACATACTCAACTTAGAGTTGATAATGTTGTAATTGTATAAAGTGCCCGAACTTCTCATATTGCCGCCTTTTAAATATTGCGGGCACGAACAAAGTATTAAAAGGACTATTGTAAACGGACAGGGAAAAATAATATTGGTCGAACACTTTCACACCGCAAACACACACTTTATTCTAAGCAGCACATTTCTTAGATTCAAATAAATTTATAACATAAATTTACTTCCAATTTAACCAGCAAATTTACTAAATGAGTCAACACTATATTGTTAAATTTAACAAAATATCTTATTAATACGGCTTCTTGAAGTTCGGGATACTTACTTTCTAGTCACAATAAAATTAGAAATTAAATAAAACTACAACCAACAATATTATTTACCGTTAGCATTTTATAAAATAATTACAGCAAATGTTAAGCTGATGGCCCCTCCATTGAAAATCGACAGTGCGTTGTCAAGTCATGTAGATATTTTTTAATATTACTTGTATCCTATGAGTCAACAATATATTGTAATAAGCGCGGCTACAGTAGAGTCGACAACGTCCAGCCGGTTATAACCTTCAAAGTGGAACATCAACTTAAAATTAGTCAACAAACGTTAAGCGATAAGGTAAAATTTACTTCGTATAGATGGTAGTGTCAACTATAACATATTATGCCTTAAGAAATTTTTATATTCAAGTGTCAACTATGTTAAAAAATAAAGCTCGTAAACTAACCGAAGTTTAATTAGTCGGATGTTCGATTTTCGGCTCGGGCGATGATGTAGTCACGGTCGATTTCGCTGGCCCGGTCTGTTGTATCGGAACCACCCTATCTGTGTTCTTTGGTTTGTCCGATTTCTTTGGTGCGGTAACCGTTAGGATACCGTCGGAAGACAATGACGATATAACCTCCTCAATATCATGATCACCGGGTAGTAAATATCTCCTCACGAAGTGTCTCGAGATAAACCCGTGTTCGTCTTGTTTCTCTTCGTGTTTCCCTTCGACGATGATGCTGTTGCCGCTGGTTTTCACGGTGATTTCGTTCGGTGCGAATTGCTGCACGTCCAGGATTACCTGAAATATTCAAATTTTGTGTTTCTCGGTGCCAGTTTTAACATTACTTATTACGCCGATTTTCCACCAAACCAAACGCTACCTCCTGTTTAATAAAATCATATAGCTACTAGAGATATAGAAAGGCACTACCTCAGGAATTCAGAAATTAGAGGAATTTATGAAGTATCAATCAAAAAATTTTTAGATGGTTCGTTGAACATGCGCATGCGCGAATTTTAAAATCTTGTTTTTAACCAATGATCTTGGGGTATTCAACAACCAACATGGCTGCTGACATATCGTCGATAAGTCTGTATGCAGCCTTTTTACTGCAATATGTTCAGCTCTCAATAAATCTTGAGGCAAAAAGGAGTTAAGAGTGTGGATATCGCTGAGATGCTCTACGAACATGATATAGCATAGTATTGTCACTACATTATGAAATAGCTAGGTGAATAAAACAAAACTGCAAATTTTCGCAAACTTCTTGAATGACTGGCGGGTCTTGCGACAATTCGTGGTTTGTTTTTCGGAGCCCACTCGGACGGAAACTGTAAAATCAAAAGGATTCAACTTGTTTTGAAACTGGAGTGTTACTGTGGACTGTTCCGGTTTTTCTATTTTCGACTTTTATTTGGGTTGGATATTTTGGATAGGATTTTTTTACCAGACTGGCAGGTATAATAAAGCATTTTTCTAATTGGGGGATTTATCCTAACATGTTGGAGAAATTTAATAGATACATACTATCGAGCAACTTAAAAGTATGATATTTTTATACAATTCTCGCGTTTTGCAACTTATAAATCTCCTGGTTTTCTGTTTTATGACAAAAATTTTTTGTTCGCCAGAATCATGTCTGACGTTGTTAAACTGCGAGGAAAGCAGTGGAGTGGGAAATATATTAGTTCTTTAATAGAGATAAATTAGAAAATAGATGCCTTCCGTGAACATAGAAATTTGTGGAATCCAAAGGATGCCAACGATGTAAAAGGATCGAAAAATAAAACAAAGCTCGAACAACATTTAGGGATATGTTTTAGTTTTTTTTGTCCTTTTAAGAAACCAAACTGAACATAAACTGGACTCAGTTTGGTAGGAAACCGACCTTTTTCGCCAATTTTCACCACAATGTCTTTCCCTGCCTTTAAGTAAGTTACAAATGTGATGGTCAAAAGTTGATTCAAATACCGGGCGATTAGAATTGAGGGTGAAGTGGTTGAAGGAGATAGAGTCATGTGGGGCAAGTGTGCGCAGCGGGTAAGTGTGCGCAGGCTTATTATTTATAAAACCGTTGACAGTAGAGTAGGGGAATCAACTGCCTTCAGTAGTCACTACGACGTTGGACAAAAGACTAGAGTCTTGTCTGGCAAAGTTACGTAGTTTTAGTAATATTGGTAAGTAAAAATTTTGGTTATTATTCTTACGATTTTTTCCAATTTAGAATTCAAATACTTTTATATTTATGTAGCGGTAATTAGTATTAATTATGTCCAATTATGCTCGTTTATATATCTAATTTTATCAGCTATACATCAAAACTTGGTAGAATGACGCAAAAATGTGTAATTTTAAACTAAATCTGTAAAGGCGATTAGGGTTAAGTGTACGCATACGGTTGTGGGGTAAGAGTACGCATATTTTAATGCGTACTTTTACCGCGATAGTGAGTTCTTTGTGTATTGACACTCGTTGTTATTTGTTTCAGGTTATACTTATATATTTCTTAAAAAAAAAACTACAATGCCTCGAAATTACAAGCGGAAGGCTCCACACAGGTCCGTTGTTACCCGTGATCAATTTGATGCTGCTAAGCGATTGATTGCCGAAGGTTTAAGTAAAAGAAAAGCAGCTGAACAGGTTGGAATGAGAGAGTACTCTCAGGAAGCGATTAAAATCTGATTCAACTGCTCTAAAATTAGGAAGATTTACTTCAACTTTCACAAGTGAGCAAGAAAATGAAATATATAATTATTTAAAAAGATGTGATGATCTCTATTATGGTCTTAATATGACAACTCTAAGAACATTGATCTACGAGTATGCTGAAATAAATCATATTCCTCATCGGTTTAATCAAAAGTCGAAAATGGCTGGACGTGATTGGGTGTATGGATTTTTAAAAAGGCACCCTGACTTGAATTTACGACAACCGACGTCAACTAGCATAGCTAGAGCAAATAAAACTGAAAATTCTAAAAAAAAACAAAGAAGAATACTACTACCAAAGATAAGGCTGTTAAAGTTAAGGCCAGTCAAGAAAATATTAATGATTTTAAGGAAAATGATGATTACTGTGCATTGTGTGGTGAAAAATACGTTGATCCACCTACAGAGGATTGGATTAAATGTAGCTTATGTCATAGCTGGTGGCATGAACAGTGCACTCATTATGAAACTGGTGCTTTCATATGTGATATATGTTCTAATAATTAAGATTTTATCATATTCGTTAAAAACGATCTCATTTGAATTTATCTCTATTCAAAACTGTTAACTACTCTAAGCCTTATTCTCGATAAAAATCAAGTTAAACAGTATTTGTCAAAAATTATATATTTAATATATAAATATAAAAAATGAAGTAAAAAATGATAAGTATTGATAAAAAATAATATTTATAACATTAAATATGGTGTAACTATATGTAACAAGTTATGGTTTAAATTATTACAAATGCGCACACTTACCCGCAGTGCTGCGCACGTTTACCCCAATATTGGGGTAAGTGTGCGCATTCTGACTAACATTTATTTTATTTTATTTCTTTAATTACAATTAAGTAAATTGAATTTCATGCTACGTAATTGTTAAATCAATAAATCCTTTAAATAAATACTTATACTTCAATTTATTTTGTACAATTATTACAATTTTATGACCATAGAAAAAAAAATGCGCACTCTTGCCCCACATGACTCTATAGAAAAATTGAAATGTGAGAATAAAAAGCTTTTGGTACTTTTTTATTTTGAAACTTTATGTATTACTTGCTACCATTTTCTGAGGAATTGTCAAGTAAACTCGGATTTTCTAAACTAAGAACTAAATTTCTTATTAAAATCATTGTCAAAACTATTTCTTTAGGTATTGGAAAAGAAAAAAGCCAAATATCCTTCATAAACTTGCCCGATATTCCTTACAAACTGTACTAAACAGACGTCTGTGCAAGAGAAACAAATTCTATACTTGTCGATGACGTTACTGTGCCCATCTTATCAATGCGAATCCTTATAACAAAAATTTGTCACTGTTAAGTGCTAAACTTATTATTATTATTCAATTGATGAGATATGTATGAGACATCCAAACACTCATTATTTATTTATTTACCTCAAAACGATCTTTCGTTATTGGATTTGTCGAGGGCGCCATTTCCTGACTTAAAATCTGCGATGTTTTCTATATATACCATAAATAAAACTTTGATTAGTGCATTGTTTGCCAAAGGGTAAAATTAAACTTAAGCTGTGGATATTAGTGGAGGCTGTGGTAAAGTTAAGCGCTCGTTAAACTCACCTGAAATTTTTCCTTATCTTGTTGAATAGTTGATCCGGAGTCTTGTCGTTGAAGGACGTTTGAGGTATTCCACGGCCTTAGATAATGTCTAGAAGATAAGGAAGGTCTTGCGGAACATTCTCTGAAGGAACTGAGAAGATCATCTCGTCTCAAACCGCTTCCAAAATGTTGATCCAACAGACGTGATGGTCGGTAGAACCAATCTTCGTCGTCCCACCAATCGCGATACCTCAATGGTACGACCGACATCTAAAGACCTTGCGTTATTTTTGAGTATTAGTTTTCTGCGGTAAACTGTTTCAAACTAACTTTGTTCGTAAGTTTTCGATAATTTTATAAATTTCACCCAAAAAAGTGTCGGTGAATGCGTAAACAATTTTACAGTGGGCTATTTTTGATTTGGCTCGAATATCAAAATCTATTTTCGGACTTTATTCGTCTATAATATCTACGATCGTTGCGAAATAATCAACATAATTTTACACAATTTAATTCAGACTAATAAATAGACAATTTTTCCGTGTAGGTATATGTGTGATTTTTAAAAACTGTTTGAATTTTTGTAAAGGATTTGAAAAATGCTCAATGAATTAAAAACCGCAATATAAAAAGGTACAATTGCTAAGCACTAATAATTTAAACTCACCTTAAGTTGTTTTCACTTAACAGTCACTGATAGGTGCTTCACTAGAGACTAAACTTTCTCAAAAATCGAATCTATGCGCTGTATATTTATAGATTCAATTTTTGAAAAGGTTTAGAATATTTACAGTCTGATGAATCAGACGAAACTAATTAAATAGCATAGGAAAGTTCTGTCATCTTGACTTCGTGCCAAATTCGCGATCTGGCAATAACGAGTAAATTTAGGTAAAGAAGGATGGAAATATCGTTGCTGTTTTCCCGCTTCATTTTGCATTTTTCATTATGCAACTATTATTAGAATAATCGGAGTTACTAATATATAAGGTAAACAAATCTTCGCCGCTGACCCTAATAGGTTACTCCAAGTGATTTAGAATTACAGCATGAAAAAATTCATAAAAATATTTCGCAGATTCTTTTAACATCATTTTTATTGTTGAAATTCATTTAATTACTTTACAAGATATCTAATTTAAAAAAAAAACGTTTTATTATACTCAAAAACGTAATGTTTGGAAATAAATCTGTTTGGAATTTAGTCGATAAGTTCACCATTGCTGAAATATATTGCAATAACGCGAAAATGACAGTATTAAAGATCAAAACAAATTATCCCATACAAATAAAGAAACCTGTTTGAAGTTAGTCAGGTGACGTCATTCAATTCAATTCAATGATGCGTTTCACAGATAGCTGTTGGGCACGACTACCAGGATCATTCGCCCATTGCCGACTTCCGTCGAGGATTCTCGGATCTTCTCCAGCAAGGAGACAGAATTTTGAAGTTCTAAATGTCGAGGATTTTCGTATCTTCTCTGGCGAAGAAGACTGATTTTTGAAGTTCCAAATGTCGAGGATTGTCAGATCTTCTCCAGCGAAGGAGACTAAACTTTAAAGTTCCAAATGTCGAGGATTTTCGGATCTTCTCCAGCGAAGGAGACTAATCTCAGAAGTTCTAAATGTCGAGAGTTTTCGGATCTTCTCCAGCGAAGGAGTTCTTCTTTTGAAATTCTAACTAATATACATGATGATTAAAACCAACCCATAGACCATGAGCTAGCAAATCCAAAAGCGGTTATAAGCAGATACCACATGCATCAAGGAATCTAACCACAAGTCGTGCAACAGAATCCATACATCCAGGGTGAAAAAGTGCAGAAAAGGCACTAATAGGAGCGGGTAAGCTGGCATCAATGAGGGACTCATACAAAATTTGGAAGTTATTCCGATGCAGAGCACAATCAAACAAAATATGTTCAATATCTCCCATCCCTCCACAAGCACACAGGTTAGATATTTTGACGTTTATCTTGTAAAGATGTGCTGGGGAACTACAATGATTACTCCTCATTCTGCACACTGTTGTAATCTCCTTTCTAGACAGCTGCAGTTTGTGGAACCATGGAACTGTTGGAGGTGTCTTATAAACTGCACTATAAAGTGTGCCCTTTGAACGGCCCCACTCTCTCCACTTGATGGCCCAGATGTGCCACATCTTTGCTCTAATTATCGGGATAAATTCACTAAAAGGGGGCCTTAAATTCAGCGGGTCTAAAAGTCTAGCTTCTGAGGCTATTCTATCCACCGTTTCATTATGTCTTATCCCCGAATGGCTTGGAATCCAGCATAACGATATTTTCCGCCCAAGTCTGCGCTTCAAAATATCAATCCTTGCTTTAATATCTAGTAGAATGTAGCTGTTGGAAGCTTCAACCGCACTGCATCCGAAGCTCTGCAGGGCACTTTTGGAATCGGAGACAATTACTGCCTGTTTAATATTATAATCTAATATAAGATCTAGGGCGTAACTAATAGCTACCATTTCTGCCGAGCAAATACAAAACGCGCTATTCAACCCATGCCCGACCCTAACATTGAGAGACGGAATAAATACTCCAAAGCCAACTCTATCATCTGGTCCCTTAGAGGCATCGGTAAATATAAATGTCTCTTCCCCGGTCCACATTTTAGAACAAAATTCCCGAAACTCAGTTTCATTTAGACCCACCCCTTTCTCAATTTTGGAATCAACAAAATTAATAGGCGTAAGCTGAGGGGCCAGGTCCTTATTAAAACACGCTAGAACGTCTCCACTATCGATAATATTATGATATGTGGCGGTGTAGTCAAATGCCTCAACTAAGGGTAAATTCGCCTTCCTTCTAAAAAAGTTATGATTTTCTTGATAGGCAATATATAATCGTTGGGTAGCTAAGAAACTAGGATTATTTCTGATTCTAAGGGACTTGACCAAAAACTTAGAAGCCAACATAATCCTCCTCACCTCCAAACTTGTTTCACAAGCCTCTCCCAATAAAATATTAATTGGAGTTGATTTCATCATACCCAATGTCACTCTTAAAGCCTGATATTGAATCCTATCCAGACCAGACAGGGTTTTTTTCCCACAGCACCCCAGTACCATAGAACCATAGTCAAGATGGGAATGCACAAAAGCTTTATAAAATATCAGAAGAGTAGACGGATGGGCTCCCCACCATGTCCTGGATAGAAATCTCATAATATTAATTCCACTAGCTGCCTTGTGAATCATTCTGCCAACCTGTGGAACCCACGTAAGCTTAACATCAAATGTAACTCCCAGATACCTAATTTCACTTTTCCAGGGAATATTTACACTATTAATTACCAAGTCGGGAAGTCCAACCAAAGCAGATCTAGAGAATAAAATAGCAGACGACTTTTGCGGACTAAGCTGCAAGTTAAACCTATGCATCCAATCAGCCACTGCCACCAAGGCTTTATTCATCAAGTCTATAGCAAAGAGGACATTGACATCGCTACATAGAAGAACAATATCATCCGCATACTGGAAAATAGAAACCCTATGAGGAATTACTAACTTAATTGAATTTACGTATATATTGAATAAAAGAGGCGCTAAGGGAGATCCCTAAGGGACGCCCTTACTGGTTGATCTAGGTCCGACCAAAAGGTGCCCAACAGCATCCTTAACAAATAGGTTCCTGTTGAGGAGAAGTCAATTGATTAACCCTATAGCATCCCTAGGTATACCCTGCTTATCCATCTCTTTTATTAGCATGGGGATGTTAACATTATCATAAGCACCCACAATATCCAATGCAACCATAACAGTAGGAACACTTTTGCTCTGAGCACACAAAATATGACTTATATAACGGACTTACCGCGCCTAAAGTCGGTTTGAGATTCTGATAGCAATCTGTGGTGTTCAAGAAACCACTCTACTCGGCACTTTAATATTGACTCCAGCACTTTACCAAATGTAGATGACAAATTAATCGGCCTATAAGAACTAAGAAGATTAGGATCCCTAAACGGCTTTAATATTGGAACAACCAGCTGCGTCTTCCAACTATCAGGTATACTGCACTCATTTCTCAATAATTTGTTGTAAAAATTCACTAAGAACACGGCTCCCTCTATTGGTAGATGCTTTATTAACTCAAAAGAAACTCTATCCAAGCCGGGGCATGTGTTTTTACGACTTCTAACTACAGCGATAAACTCATCAAGAGTAAACAAGGGAGAAACTGCAGTGTTATCCCCCTCTAAACTTGTCTCCTCAACGACACCATCGGCATGACCCACTAAGGAGTCCAACAATTCCTCCGGTACTGAAAAGTTAAGTGGGAGGTGACAATTAGCCCGGTTAATAGCCTTTGAAAATCTTTTCACACATTTCCATACATACCTAGCACTCTCATTGGGAGATAAACTCTGGCAAAAATTTTTAAATCCCGCCCTTTTCTTTTCCCTAAGAAATTTTCTACAACTGGCCCGAGTTCTTTTTACATTAACATAATTCTCTAGAGTAGGGGAAATTTTATAATTTCTAAAAGCCTCTCTCTTTTTAGCGATCATTAACGAGCACTCGTGATCCCACCAAGGAAGTCCACATTTACGCCCGCTCTTATGAAGGGGTATGGAAGCATCAGCCGCGTCCATGACTACCTTGTAGAACTGGTCGTATGACGTAATAAGGGGGTTGCTTAAACCAATACTAATCAATTCAGAGAATTTGTCCCACTCTGCCTTAGAAACATTGTGCTTCAGGAGATACGCTTGAGCAGGATGATGTAAACTGTCCGGTTTACACCGAATATGACACAGTATCGGGAAATGATCGCTAAACCCTCTGTCGAATAACACCCGGAAATCGGCAACATGAGCCAATTCGTGTGAACAAAATACCAAATCGGGGACAGAACGGGAGTCATTCCCTGTAAATCGGGTGGCAGACCCGTCATTAAGAATAAAGAAGTTGTTATCATTGATAAAGTCTGATAGTAAAGAGCCGTTAGCCAGACCGACATAGCTTTTAATTGTAGAGCCCCACTCTTCATTATGAGAATTTACATCACCAGCAAAGAAAACGGGTTTTGACCTAAGTCTATCAACCAAAGTATCTAAGAACAAACGAGACATAGGAAGGTCAGGAGGATTATACATCGAAACTAGAAAAAGGCTGTCCATCTCCAACACTATAACCTGACATCTATCCGGCCTGGGGATATCTGACACATCTAAAACATTATACCCGATGTTGGAGCGTAAAAAAACAATAATCCCTCCATACCCATCCATACGATCGTCCCTGACAAAGGAGAAACCAGACAAGGAAAACTTGATATGTGGGAGTAAAAAAGATTCATTAATCATGACTATATCCGGACCAAAGTCGCGAATAAGTCTAATAATACTATCACGATTACTTCTAATACCACAAGTGTTCCAGTGAATAATTGAGAAATTACTAATTTTAACAGAAAGATTTGACTGTCGATCTGGGAACATTAATAAATTAAAACCTGCATCCTCCGGGAGGAGGCAGGGAGTCAAAAAGACTCTCAATTTCATGGTAAGCACTTTTACTGGGTATATTGGACAAAACTTTTTTCTTTAAATTTTCAAACCGATACCAAAATTCACCAGAGGAAGAAACCCCTGGAGAAGCAGTGTCCATCTCGGACTCTGACGATAAGTCATTTAAATATGAGGGAGAAGATTGACTTTTGCTAGTGTGATTCAACTTCTGCCTAGTCAACGGGGGCACGAGACAATCCCTGTGGGCGTCCCTATCATACCCTGATTCTATTTGGGGGGACTTACGCTTTTTTGCTATGACAGAATAAGTTTTAGAAGCAGATCTAGGGGAAGGCTGAGAGACGGGGGCAACCGTGTTATGAATAGGAGGGAAATTTTCATTAGAGCGATTAAACTCACTTGATTTGGGGCCTCTTGGAAAGAGTTTAGCCGCTTCAAAAAAGGATAGGTTGTACCATGCCATAGCCTCATTGATTTTCTTCTGTCTGTCCATTTCCGGACATGATCTATCAGTGGCCTGATGAGAGCCTTCACAGTGGATGCAAGTTGGCTTTGGAGATATTTCGCAATTACCCAGGCTGCATTTCTTCTTATAAAACTGTTCTTTCAGTTCACAATGAAATACTGGATGATCTCCAGCGCAGAAACTACATCTACCCTTGCTTTTACATTGGTTTTTCCAATGACCAAACCTGCAACAATTCATACATAAGACAACAGGACTAACATATTTTTCGATTGAACACTCATTTTTATAGATACAGATTGATTCTGGAAGAGTTTTACCCTCAAATGTTATTATATAATCATTAGATGGAACTGTCTTGAAACCAAAAGTGCCAGGCAGAACACCTGGGCATTTGACCCTTTTAGTTAGTCTGCGAACATTAACAATCTTAACGCGCTTTAGCGATCTTCCGATGTTAACCTTGGCTTCTGCCTCAGAGTAAAAATCATCCTCATCAATTAAGTCACCAATGTCCCTCACCAACCCTCGGCAAGTGACTAGTCTTTGAGGTATATACTTATTATACCCACCAGCTGTCGAATATGATTCATTAGATAAAAATTTATTTGCAGACTCAGAGGTGTTAAACTCCAAACCGATTTTATTGGCTCCTTTTCTAGAAATTTTCAATATACCTTGAACTTTCTGCGCTTGAAGTAACTTCCCAAAGTTCATAGGATGAAGAGTCCCCACCTTACTTGTAATCCTCTCCAGAATCACCATAAAAGGCCCCTGATCGGTGATTTCATATTTTGTTTTCCGATTTACTGTCCTTCTTATGTTTGCGGAGATTTTGGCAACTTCCCGCAGGATTTCAGCGTCTTGCTCGAACTGATTCTTGATAATCTGGATCTCTGCCGATAACTTTGACAACTCTTCACCTGAGGGCACATCAAAATACTGTAGCCTGGAAATATCTTCAGCAGTTTTTTTGCAATCCGGTGGCAAAATGTTACAAATAATGGCGTTCAACGGACGATTTTGAGAATCATTGGGTAAACTGTCATTTTCTTGTGCAGCACTAACCGTCGGGGGGCCCTCGCCCCCCGAAGAGTCCCCCATGGTTAAGGTTAGAAGGCCAAGAGGAGGAAACTACCAGCCACAAAAACTGATATATAACTGGATGCGTTAAATGGACTCACCAAATAACAGAAAACAAAAAAAATTAGGGCCGATGCCTAAAGATTTGCACAACAATACTCAGGTAGTCTTCACTCCTTCGCTGTTGTCAGGTGACGTCATATGTTTTAACATAAACTAGTAAACTAATGAGTGTTCCGTCAAGTCTGCATATGGCCAAAAAACCCAAGAAGAAGTAATCTGCAAAATATGTCGCGTTTTTAAAGCTATGTGAACTGTGGTATAAACCTTTTGCTTCACGATTTTCAATTTTCGACGAAAATGTTTAAATAGAGCAGTTAACATGCTGATAACGAAAGCAACATTTAAATTTTTCACGATTCTTAGTTCGCTCACGATAGTCAACGCAAATAATTTTACATGGCAGGACAATGGAGCTACAGAGACTAATATATCTAACGAAAATTTACGCGTTCATCTATGATAACTGTGGTGAGATATGGTAGGGTTAAGTTTATTTCCGTTAAAATCAAAATATTTTTCATTGTAGTTTGAGATATCGCAAACGAATTATGTCTTGTTATTCCGGAGCTGATTTGTTGAAAGTGTTTGATAATTTAAAAATAGACCTAGGTAATTTAAATCCCAATGTAATTAAGGGTTGGTTTGATACTGATTGTAAGGATACTATAGCTTTATTGAATTGGATGTGTTGTTTTTCCGAAAAAAACTATGTCGCTGCTCTTGAGCAAGCCGAGTGAGTCTGTTTGTAAGTAATGAATATGTTAGAATCTTACAATGAAAAATTGTAGATATGCTGCAATTGAGCAAATTGTCGAAGATGAACAGACTTGTATTGATGAACTTAAAAATCTTCGGCCAGAATATGCTGATGTATTACATGTCGATAAGAATTTGGAAGACATTGTGCTCTTGGAGTCTGAGATTGAAGTTCTCCAAGCTGAAAGTAACTCCTTGGATAGGTTGCTACAACATTACGAGTTAGTATTCTTAGTTTCTGCTAAATAACTAGCTTATTGCATTAATTTTGAAAAGTGGTAATGGTAATATTATGTTTTAGGTATTTGAACAATAAACTATCAATTGAACTAACTAACACCACTGCTAAGGAAATTGAGTCCAAAGCCAGATGTGCAACAGCCTTAAGTGTTTGCATCAATTTAAGTGAAAGGCTTGATGGTATTCACACAAAAATAGAAGAGCAGCTCATTACATATGTAGGTAATATTTTACTACTGCTGCTGCTGATTAATTTATCTGTTTTAGGACCCAGATTCCCATTTTGTAAATCAAATAGATTTAACGGCATATCGGGAGAACATTGATAACTTGAAGTCCTGTCTATCAGCTTCAATTAACCTCGAGCAGACTCAACTTGAAAATTTAGAAGAGAGTCTCAGTGATGAATTAGAAATGGTCCATAAAAGGTAAGCTGTTTTATCCATAAGTCCACACACCATGAGATAATTGCAAAGTACTAAGTACTAAGTTTCTAATTTTTTACTCAACTTTTAACACTTTTCAGTAGTTAATGAAGAGGATTGGATAGTTTTTTTATTACAGGTTAATACAAAGCAATCAAATTTATTTAGCAAACAACATTGAAATTTCCAAATTGCAAGCGATATTGAAGTTCCTTCACCGAGTCGATATATCTCACATTGAGTAAGTTGGAAAAAAATTGAGCTCAGGTCAGTTGAAGTTTTTTCTTTTACAGTATCTCATTTCCGATTCAGTCTAACTTTCAATCTATGGAAACTTACAAAAGGGATTTATGCGAAATGCTGAATGGTGCATGTGTCAAACAAGCTGACCATTACATAATCGAAAGCAAAGTTAAGTATTTGCAGATGGACCTGGATGAATATCGGTAGGTCACAATTTAGATTTTTTTTGTATTATTTCAAGTTTAATGAAATGATCTCTTTGCTCTGTTTATTAATGCGAGAGAGTTATGAAATGTAAATGTGCAATGATAATGATCATTAAACATTAAACTTAATACAATTCAGATAAATTGCAAATATCAAAAGCTAGCATATGATTCTTATCTATTAAAGGCAAACCATAAATCCAAGATAGTGTGGAAACTAATAAATATGGAATATAACAAAAGTCATGTGATAATGAATCTATCCTCTCTGGAACAATTTAATATATTTGTTGGAAACATTGAGGAGGAGGTTATTAGGTAAAATTGTCTTCCAGCGATATCATCTTGAACTTTCTCTGGCACCTTTAATGTGGGTCCCTAAATAATTCATCATAAACTGATATATTTAATATAAATTTCAAAGTTTTAGCAAATTTTATTGATCTATTGATAACTCTGTTTTATTCATTGATTAATAAAAGTTTTCTCACGGGCCCTTTTCGATCCAAATTTAAAATTAATTCAGTTGTACCACTTTTGAAACAAGGAGATCCCAATAATTCCCAATAATAATAATTACCATCCTATTAGCATAGTTCCTTTATTTGGGAAGATAATGGAGAAGAGAATTTTAAAAGATGCATTTTTTTGGAAAACATCATTTGTTGAGTCAGGTAGTTTGATTTTTAGAACTGGCCAAGGCACTGGGAGGGTATTGTTAAGGGCTTTGACACGGGGCTGCACAATGTTATAACACTGTGTGATTTGTTCAAAGCCATTGACTGCGTGTCCCAGGATATTTTATTGAAAAAATTAAAACACCATAGCATAAGGCGCGTACTATTGAAACTTCTCGAGAGTTGTTTAAAAAATTGGTCCCCACTGCCTTTTTAAATAATGACTTTTGAACTATAGAGACCGTAAGGCTCAATTTTGGGCCCACTATTGTCGTATATGTGAATCACTTGAGCCCTTATATGATTTCTGTCAAATGCTACCGATTTGCAAATAACGCTTCATCTGTTACCTCCAGCGGCAGCAATGCAAGTTTGTCTGCTTAGATGGTTCTTTTAAACCAAGATAAAACCGAAATTTTTGAAATACCAAAACACTGTTAACTTATCGCGGTCACAGCATAGCGATGAACTGTCTAAAGCTTCATGAAGTCTGATATTTCTAAAAAAATTCCTATCTTACATAAACTTTGACACCCTTAAAACGTCTTATTTTGCACTACTACATTTAAAAATTTTTAATGCCGTTTCAATGTTGGGACACAGTACAGCAGCACAGATCATTTTTAAATTCCAAGAGAGAGCGATTAGGATCATGTGTGGTGCGCGTTATCGTGCCCATTGGAGACCCCTTTGTCATAGCCCCGGGATAATAAGACACACTTGAAGTCTGTTTCTAATTCTTTGAATTAGAAACTCTGTATAATAGACTACCCACATCCATTTTTACAATCCATTGTTCTAATTTCCTCTTGCAACGTCTCATATTTCAAAACTAGTGTTATGTCTTGCTACACACCCTTTTTCTAGCGTCCGAAACAATAGGGTTTAATTCACAATGATATTGTGGAAGGCGAAGTTTTGAAGGAATTTCGATACTACAAATTTCGAACAAAGAGGTTTATTCAAATTTATAATCACCAGTAGCTCCTGTTCCTTTTGAAATTGCTTCTTATTAAGAGTAAGCCAGTGAATGATGTAATTTTGTTTCCAGTGTTCTTCCGAGTGTATTATGCTTTTGATGGCAGTGTTTTCATCTTCATTTATGACCGTACTTCTCCTTAGTAATCTGATGGTGCCGCGTTTATCCTTCTGCAAAAGTCGGTACTGTCCAACTCCAGCCATATTCGAACACATTTTAACTATTTTTGCAACTGGGAATGTTCAGTTTTGGTAGGGTATAGTTTTGAACATACTGAGTATAATAATTTTCTCATTTTTAGAAAGCGCAGTTTCACTAATCCGTGTCTCAGCAACAAAGTCAAAAACACTGGCCATTTGCGAGGACGAAGTTTGCCACTAACTGTCAGAAAGTAACGTTAATTCTAATTTTAATCACTAAGGCGCACATAGATCAACTACCGGTCCGTCACCTGCCACTTTCGGGACACTTGGCAATCTACTACGCCTATGGAATAAGACTAAGACCACTAAGTTTTACAGTTTAATAATGATTTGTAACTCACGCATTAATAAGCAGAACCTAGATCACTTAGTATTATTTCTTTATCGGGTTTCAGTTCAAAATTGCGCGACACATCAAAAATTTTAGAACACGTTACCAAGTTTTTTTCCTACTACGCGCTTACAAACGTTTTGCAAACTAACGAGAAAGCTTGCATAGATATGGCAAAAAATTTCTTCGTAAACATTCGAGATTACGTTAATGGTGATCTGTCCGACTGCAAACGGAGGATTGTAAGTAAATACCTACCCAATAGTGTTCGAAACGTTATCATTATGCATTCACTAGGACCAGATGAACGAAGTAATTAACGAACACCAACTGTATCGGTCGAAACCTGACATTGAAAAACTGACGTTAGTTTCTTCAATGGCGCGGGTCTTATCGGGGGAAGCTTCAAATTTGAATTCCGCATTGGAAGCCATCTGTAAATTTAAAAGTGAACTAAATTCCTTAGAGGCGAAGGTTTTCCGTAATGATTTCTATGAAGACAAAAACAGAATCTTGCAAAGGTAATTTATGCTTTACACTATAAAAGATCGTCTAATTATTACCATATAGCTTCTAGATAGGGTAGATACCCTAAATACCTCGAAATTGATGCGCCTCCCGCTTCTATGGGGCTAGGAGAACTTAGTATTTTTAATTCAATTGAAGTTTTACTGTCAACCTCAGAATTTCTTAACATAAATTATCCCGCAAAGGAATTTTTCTAATAAAATTGTTTTAAAAAAATACAAAATTTTCGAAAAAACTTTTTGAGAAGCTATTTTTGGTGTTCAAGAAACAAGAAAAAAAATGGAATAATTAAGAATTTTCTAGTACAATTAAGAAAATTAGCTGATAAAATTGTGATTTTTAATTTAAATTAATAGAAAGGTTCCATATTAATGTGGGTGAAGATCTCACATAGATAATTTCTGTTAAAATTTTGAGCAATTTAAAAATTTGTAGGGGACAATTTATTAATTCAATACAAAAATTTCATTCTATTTTGTATCGATATCAGACAGAACCAGAAAAAAAAGTGTCTAGAAATGCACACCAAAGATTAAATTTATATAAATAAATATATTATATTGATTTAAAAATACCTATTAATATATATACATTTACAACCATATTAATAAAAACTAACTGAGAAAAAAAAAGAAGGCACATAAGAACACTTCCAATTCTTATTAGTTGTGGTGATTGTTTTGTTTAATTATTTAAACATTTAGCAAAACCATATACCATATTTTATATAATAGATGTCAGCGCCATACCCAAAAAAATTTCTTATGGCTCTTTTGATAATAAACTATAGTATGTATGAAAATAAACCTGTATTGAATTTTAGTACGAAAAACTCTCTGAGGCATATATCTGTTCTAAATGCAAAAAAACCCAGAACAGCTATGCTCAATCTGTTTATGGTTTGAGAATGTGGTTGCTGCTTTATTATTGTAATGTTCAATAAATTGCTACTGTTGATTAGCTGAGGTCAAGATCTAAAGCTAGATTTCGTCGTCTTATGAGTTATAAGTTTGTAGCTATATTAGTTTGTATTGGTATTAAGTAATTTTGTCAAAAAATATCTCAATATTGTTAATAAAATTAAGAATGCATTACAGGTCCTATTGTTTAAAAGCGTGTTTACATGGGCATATTGAACATCTCCCCCAACATTTTTTGACGTGACAAGAGTGCCATTTTAAGCTAGGCAAGGTCTCTATCTAGTAGCTATATGATCGTCCATTTTAACCAGTTTACCATATTTTGTTGGGTTCAGGAAAGCGGACGTCGAGATTCTTGAAAAATATTTTCAACGCGGACCTACGGACAGGGTGATACTGATGCCGGTAAAATTGCAAAACGCATTTTTGGAAATGGAAGACCATTTTAGAATGGAAAGGGCGAGTTTATCACGAGCGGTACAGATCCCAAAAACTGCGGTAGGGTCATCCTATTTACAAAATAGAATGTAGTAATTGTAAATGATATAAAACTATCAATTTCAGCGAAATAATGCTACCAAGGAGCAAAATTACATCAAGCAATTATGGATGATTTTTTTAACCAAACCCGCAAAGGTTGAATCCTTGTTAAAGAAGGTCGAGGCGGAGTTCAATCAAAGAACGAGGGAACATTTCTTTTAAGATTATTACTTATTGTTAAATGTCTCAAAAATATTCATTTTTTAATAAACTGAAAGATACCCATCGAATTCGCTTTGCTTTGGAATTAAACGTGGCAATATTGAGCAAATATTAATAAAAACAAGATATAAATAGGCCGGTAATCTTTAAAAATGCGTGTATGAAAGTGTGTTTAACCCCTTCCAATCAATAATGGAGACAAATTTTTAACTTAGAGGATTAATTTCTTTTGGTTTGACAACATTTTTGCCGCCTCCGTTATCAATTTTAAGTGTTTCGAATACATTGTGACAGTGCGTAGCGGTCTGTGTTAGAGGACCTAAACCTTCGACGGATGTACAAGAAGCAGAAATCATCTGTCATGGATACTAAGCAATTTGTAGTGTGCCCCCTGCAGAATTCACTGTTTCTTAAATAAACTTTGATATGATATTGGTTTAATTGTGTACATAGTGTAATAGTGTCATACAGCAGCACTGTTTTTGCTGTTGACGTCGGTTAGAGGGCCAGATCGGCACGGTTTAGGGATATTCCGATACTAGTAAATACGAGTAGGTACTCGATATTTTTGATTCGATACCAAGTATTTATAGCATCGAATCAATCTTGCGATACTTACTCGGTATCGAAATAAAAGTACTTGGTATCAAATCGAATCAGCCTCACCAATAAAAAAAAACCGAACGCATCAGACATACATAATCTCTATCTGATATATGGTGACGCGTTGTCTCGCGCCAGCCAAGCCGAACTCGTCCGACTTCACTCCACCGAGCCCGAGCCAAACGCGAGAAAGACGTCCGCCCTTCATTTTTTTTCATTGTCAACCAACATAAATTGTCAAACGTACAAGAAATTGCTTACGAATAATTGTATTTATTGTAATCATCAGCTTATTATTCCAATGGTATCATGGGAGTTTTTTGTTTAAAGTACGTGCTTAACGTGACGCAAACCTTTATTCTTTTCCTTCTTAATTTTGTTTTAATTATTGTCCTTCAAAGTTCATTGTTAGTGTCCTTAAAATAAATAAAAAAATAATAAAGTGCTAAAAGTATCGATATGAGTAAGTATCGATACTTTAGGAGTATTTATTTGAGAGTATCGAAAAAAGATTTGAGTACTATCGAAATGAGTAGGTATCGATACTTTAATGGTATCGCGGTCGTTATTAGTTTTTCCTCTAATTAATTCGGTCCACGTTGTAGCGAGAGAATACGTTATCCTTTATTGCTTTCCTTAACTTACTAGTTCCCCTAATTTAACACGAGAGGGCACTGTTACGGCCATGCCTCAACTAAAAGATATATATCACAAGTACCTAAGACTATTAATCAAAGACAGTGAATTATGTTTTAAAATTTTATTTTATATACAGAATTATCGATTTCTATAAAAAGTATAAAAATTTTAATTAACATTTTAAACTTTAAAAATTTATGCTCCCGTCGTTTGTCGCAAAGTCGTTGTCATAGTAAAAATTTATACCCGAGGCATTCACTACTACATCTTTGTTTACGTGAATCGGGTTATTTAGGTCTACTTCAAATATTTTCCTTGGAGTATATCCTAAAATAAATTATTTGTTTAAATTGATACTTAATGGGCGTTTATAACGTTTATTGATACCTAATATAGTTCTATTCAAATTGTCTATTATTTCGTCTAATTGCTCTTGATTGAGTTTTATAATTATCTTATTGCCGGTACCCCTTTGCAACGACCTTCGACTACGTGAAAGCAAAGGTAGAGTAAACTCGCTTTCTGATAGCGGGGTGTCATCGCTTCCAAAACCCTAATGGAAACCGTTACATTGAACACCAATTTTATATTCATTGCGGAGACTTACTAAACATTTGCCGCTGACACAGTAAGATTTCTTGTCGTGGGACCCTTTGGTGCAGTCGGTTCCAAACGGAAACCATCCATCTTCTCCATTTACCAGATAAAACCTGTGTGATATGTTTTCGTCTTGGCACGCAACTTTGCACGGTCGATCGGGATCTTCTATAAAAAACCCAATATTAAAATGGTTTTGGCCTAATGACTGCAACAAAAAGGGGAGCTGTACCTAGAGTCATAAATATACTAGTGGGTAAGATTCGTTCTTATATTGTTTTTTATCAGTAAAAACTCACAAAAAGGGAACAGTATCGGTGTTGGGTTCGAGATGCTTTGTGCTTTGACTGTAAAAACATTAAAGATTCATGCGTCGACTATCATTAGAACTTTTTGAACAATGGTACGAGGATTGTCTCCTATCTAACATTCGTTAGAATAGCGTTATAAAAATGATCAATGCGAGCTATCACAGTTGCTAACTAAATAAGGTAAGGTCAAATAATACAAAGTTGGAAATTCAAAACTACAAGGCAGAAAATAATTTTAAAGTTATACAAGCAGTAAGCTTTTTACAAAACTTCTGGATTCCTCCTGCGTTGCTTTTTGCTGAGTCGAACTTGCTGATTTACAATCATCCTGTTGGCTTCTTCAGAGCTTTACTGAAACTGGCTCGTATTTCACTCTGTACCTGTCTAAGGGAGGCGAAGCTAAATGAGGGGCATAAACATAAATACATAAACACCATAAACATATTGGTGACAGGTAGAGACCTGAGTCGCGGTTAAGATTGTTAGGTTGTTTATAGATTTCTATAGACTCTCGAATTTTTCGTTGGTAGAAGTACTGTTTATATGCTAGAATTTTAGTTTTATCGAATAACATTTTATTTTATGTTTCATGAGTGTGTTCGGTAACAGCTGATCAGTTTATTTGTCTTAGTCGTAAGGCTCTTTCGTGTTCTTTGAGCCTAGTTGATATTTTTCCTCCTGTCTTTCCCATGTATTCTTTGTCGCATATGTATGGAATGCTGTAAACTTCTGGCATCTCAAATGGAATTTTGTCTTTGACGGACCGAAGATGTTGAGAGATTTTTGGACAAGTGGTACATCTGGTTTTGACGTTATACTACTTTAGAACTTTTGATATGTGGTCAGTGATGTTTTGAATGTAAGGAAGGACCACAGTGGCGAGTGTAGAATTGCTTTCGGCCTCATTGCTATTGGAAGGTTGTGGTGAAGTGTATTTTTTGATAGAACGCTTAATATCTTTAATGTTGGTGATGTGACCATGCTTTAAGGTATCGGTCTGTGTGTGTAGGTTTTCTGTAAACACAATGACCCAATGTTAGGTCTGATTTTTTATTGATAAGAATATCTAAGAATGGAAGGTTATTATTACTTTCCAACTCAATGGTAAAACGTATGTTCGGGTGTATAGGTGAAAGGTGTCGAGAGCTTTCTTCTCAAAAGCTTCCATAAATATATTCGCGATGACTGATGATAGTGGAGAACCCATATCTGTTTCCAAAGTTTGTTCAAAAATTTGACCATTATAAGAAAAATATGTTCCCGACAGGCATTTTTCAATTAAAGTGAGAAGGTTCGGTTCCAGATTCTCGGACCTTAATATATCTGAAATGATATCGAGAGTTTTAGGAATAGGAACTTTGGTAAAGAGAGATTCTACGTCGAAACTAACTAGAGTATTTTGTGAATCTAATATAATGCTTTTTAATTGTTCAATGAACTGAAAGGAATTAAGTACGAAACTGTCAGTTTTCCCTGTAAGGGGTTTTAATAAGGAAGCTAGCTATATTTTGCTAGGGAATATGTTGAAGAACCAATGGTGCGTAGGGGTAATCCTGGTTTGTGAATCTTTGGGAGTGCGTAGAGACGAATTTTAGAGTCATGGGGGGTAACAGATTTTTTCACAGAGTCTGATAGAAAAGAAGCCTTAATAACAGATTTAAGGTTGCGATCCATAGATGACGTAGGATCTTTTTTAAGTTGACGATATGATCCGTCTATAAGAATATCTTGAATCTTTTTCTGATATTCATTCCTGCTTTTAGGATAATGATGTCTGGATCAAATTTTAGAGATTTTAGGACGATGCGTTCAGGCTTTGCAATATTGGATTTAGGAGGTTTTGATTTTTTAAGGATTTTTGAGGTTTCAAATCGAATTTCATTAGCTGTTTGAGATGGTAGTTTGTTTAGGATAGACTCGATATTTGAAATCATTTCCTCTTTTGGGATAATACGTGGGGCAAGGACGAAGTTGGAACCTTTTGAAATAACTAATTTTTCCGTTTCCGAAAATTGGTGCGATGATACATTTATTACGGTGTGGTAGTTGAGAAGAGTTTGATGGTTTTCCTGGTGTTGACGCCAGTTTTTCAAATTTCTGAATGAGATTTTGGGTAGTAGATAAATTAAGATTTAAAGCTTTGTCATGAATCATGTTTGAAAGGGTATCGAATTCGGATGGGGACAAAATAAAAGAAATTTAAAATGTGTAGAGACAGAAGAGCCTTATTGATTTGGTCTAGGGGTAGGATGAATTTTTTCTCGAAGTAAAGCGAAACTATATTTTTGAAGAATTTTATAAGCGGACGAGGTTGCAACGTGATGGGATATTTTAATTAAATTGTGGATAACATTATGGTCTCTACAACGTAACAAAAAGGTCAGTGTACAGAGTAATCTTACCAGTTTCAGTCGGTGATCTTCTAACTTTCTGCATTTGCGCTTGATGTCCTCTCTATAAAGGCTTGTTAATTTTTCAAAGAAAAAAATTTTATTCGATAAAACTAAAATTCTTGCATATAATCAGTTCTTCTATCAACGAAAAATCCGAGAGTCTCTAGAAATCTATAAACAACCTAACAATCTTTATCGCGACTCAGATTTCTACCTGTCACCAATATGGGAATCAGTCATCCGAGACGGTGTTTATGTCCCTCATTTAGCTCCGCCTCCCTTAGACAGCTCTGAGCTCTGAGGAAGCGAACAGTATGATTGGCGAAACGTCAGCAAGTTCGACTCAGCAGAAACTGACCTAGCAGGAATCCAGAAATTTTGTAGAAAGTATTACAGTAGCCTGTGGAAGTTTCTTTGAAAAATTAAGCAGTGAGCTTTTAGGAGTTTCAAACGCTGCGACTATTGCAAACGGGACATATACAGTATTATGGCTCCCACCATAGTAGTCTGTCCTCAATCCTATAATGCACCTGTGACAGCAACCAAAATTGGGTCACCAAATTCTTCTCCCACTATAAGCGGTAGTGTTGTAGATTTAATAAAAAAATATATTAACGAAACGCTCCTGAATATTTGGAACAGTTCGCTTAACCATTTTATTACTGCAGACAAATCTTATAAATAAATATTTCAAACTTATTTCGACCCATTATGATTAATTGAGGTGAAGATAACGACAGCGACACAAAGCCGTAGAACGAATGATATAAATCTACATATTATAGTGTAGATAGACACCAAGTATAAGTAATGTTTTAATATTTGTCTGTTAAACTTTTGCATTTCATTAAAATAATTATAAGCCGTTGTTGCTAGTATTATTTTATTTATAGTATAGTTTTATTCTATTCAATAAAGCAAAACCACTTTTCTGTGAAAGCACTATACACTTGCAGGGGCTGCTCGTATAAGGACGTCTTTCTGTAATTTCGAGTTGAAATTAATGTTCATTCGTCTTTGTCAGTCCCCAAATACATCTGATGGAAATAAATATACAGGGCGTTTTTGAAAATCAGAGATAAACACATGAAAACTAACCAAAAGTACTGTAAACAACGAAATAGTATTTTTTGTATTTTGGAAGCAAACAGCGACACATCGCAAATTCGGGGAAATAAAAGGAGACGTGACGGTAGAAAAATACCGCTTTCCACAAACATTTAGCAGAAAAGTAAAAAACAATGAAATTTCAACGTCCTGAGGTAGCTTTTACTTACAAAATCAAATCCCATGTAAACTGTCTTACCAAATGAAGCGGAAATCTGCATCCCAAGTCCGGACAATCTCCGGACGCGACCCTTGTACTTGGTGCATATCATAGAGGCGTGTTCAAACGGGGACTTTATCTTACCACACCCCTAAAAATTTTACAGTATATCGCATTATAAAAAAAAAACATTTTGTTATTTTATTTTTATCTAATTTTTAAATATATTTATTATTTTTGTAAACGTTTTATAATAATAACAATAAAAAGTTACTAAGTAAGGTAGAATAAAACTTTGAAACATAGATTTCTAAACGCATACGTTTGGCAATAGATGATATTTCTATGTGCTCGATTGTTTTTTTGACCATGTTACGTAGTCATAGCATTTTTTTGCAACGAAAACACGTTTTATTTGCAATTTTTTGGAATTGGTAACTTCATAGAAAGTCACCCGTTTTTAAAATGTTAAATAGGACGAAAATATACAAACGGGATATTTCAATTAGAAGAAAATGACTTTTCACGATTGTTTTGTTTGTTTTATTTGTTTTTAAAATATCAACACAGAGCAGAATCTATAAGCGCACAGTAGATAGCCTATTAAAAATATCTAGTGAACGGATCAACAGCTTTACTTTAAATTATACATTTTTGAAACTTCCTGTATATTCTATCTGACCTGCATCTGACGTTACTGCATTCTTGAAAATATTTGAAAGTGATATAGCACCTTTTCGTACTTCACGCTGTATAATTTAAAGTAAATTCGTTGATCTGTTCACCAGGTCAGCCATTTACTATGCGCCACCCGATTTAAGAGAGGCTTTCAACAGTGTTCTAATTAAAATAAGAAAGTTGTTACTTGTCTACAAAAATACAAACACACCGTATATATAATAAAATAATATTTTAAAAGTATAAATGAATCCAAATAACTTTTGTCTCTAAGTTTTTCCGATATCTCTAACAAGGTCTTAGATAAGGTATCATCCCATAATAAACGAGGCAGCCTGCGGAATAATGAACACATTTTAATGATAGCTGGTCACAAAAAAGCAATAAACAAATTAGAGCTACCCAAGAAATACCTATAATTTATGTCTTATAATCCTTCATTAGGTATAAAAAAAATTCGAAATTCGAAACACTGTAAGATTTAAAAAAAAATCACAATAATATTTCTCGCTATTTTGAAAATATTTTTTGTTATCATTCAAAAAATACATAATTTAAATGAAAAGCTTGAAATAAAATTTATCATATCAAAAATTATTTTCTTTAAACTAACGGGTTCACCGATAGAATTGAGTCGCGGAGCCTTCATCAATTTTGTAATAAAAGTCAGAAAAAGAAGGATAAAAAGAGGAGCGTTTTATAATGTCATATTGTAATGGAAGCACGTCACCTGATTCGTGATCAAGACTTACGAGCATTTATGACGATTTACTGAAAGCACTTACAAACTGATCTGGTTGGCACAATTGTATACTAGGCTTCGAAGACTTCTTGTTCATAACTAGTCGAATGCCGGAACCCGGCGAAATGCAATTAAAGTGACACCCGCTCGCGCTTTTCCACCGGATCACGCCCTCCCTGACCCTCAAACTATACCTCCAATTGATGTCGTTGTTGGCCCGGTCGACCGGACATAGTTCCGGCATTAGACTGAACACAGTGTCTTCTAACGAGTCACATACGAAGTCTTCGCATCTTCCCGTGATGCAGTAGCTGGCTCTTCCTGAAGAAAAGTAAGAGGATATAATTGCGCGGGAACAAAATGACAACAAACCGCTAGACTTTCTCCTCGTCTGACACGCCGTACCGTCTGGGAATGTCCATCCTCTGCTTTTCGTGCTGCCGTTACGTTTCTGACACCATACGGTACAAGCTTCCTCCGCTGGAAATTGAAAATGAACAGATGACAATTTTTAACAAACAAAAGAACAAAAAATTAGTGAAACTCCACAAAATCATATTTTGCGTCATTTATTGTACCGAAAACTACCTAAAACATGGCAGCTGTCAACCTAAAATCTCATTTTATGGATCTAGCAGCAGCTCCAAGAAGGATTTTTGATGAAACAAACAAAATAATGAATAAAACTGAATTCTGGTCGATTTAGATCAAATTCCAGTCACAATCAGATTTTCCGTTAGCTATGGCAACGAAAACAATATGAAACCTGTAGATATCAACTAGAATGTCACATTCTGGTTTAAACATTCGATTTTTGATGATAAAACACAAAAAATTAGTGAACCTTTCTTCTGGTCTATTTCGTTCAGACTTCAGTCAAAATTGATTTTGCGCTAATTATTGTAACCAAAGTTAATGCAAACATGCAGCTATCAACCCAAAACCTCTTTTTCTGGATCTAACAGGAGTTTCAAAAAGTATTTTTGACTAAAAAATCACCAAACAGCTAAGCTCCACCTAGTCAATTTCGATCAGATCCCAATCAAAAATAGGTTTTCCGCCACTTATTGTGAAAAAAACTACATGAAACCTGTAATTATCAACCTAAAATCTAACTGTCTGTGTGTACAGTAGTTTCTGGAAGGATTTTTTTACCAAAAATTAAAAAAATGAATAAAACTCAATTTTTTTTTCGTCACTTATTATAACGAAAACCAGCTCAAACATGGAACTATCAACTGAAAATCTCACTTTTTGGGTTGAATAGTAGGAAGATTTTTGACGAACTCAACTTTTTCTAACCGATATCGATCAGATCCCGATCAAAGTCACTTTTTCGCAACTTATTTCAACGAAAACCACCTTAGAGCTATCAACTTAAAATCTCTCTTTCCGCATTGAAGCGCAGCTTCAGGCAAGGCTTTTGAGGAAAAATGTACATACAAAAAACAACATGAAAACAATAAAAATACATTATCTTCTAACACTTACGATCGCTGCTTATTTTCTGCATCCCAGAACCGGTGAGATCTTTATCCACGTCCCTCGCTCTGGTGCAAATTTGCTCCGCGAACTCCCTTATAGTTAATCTAGGAACATTTAGGCATTGTTGAGCGTTGCAAGTCTGATACTTCCTTCTGGGACCGTCGCATTTGTTTCCCTTTCCTTCAGGACTGAAATCGTACAGAATTAAAACTTTAAAACGTAATTTCTAATATATTCTCACGAACCTGGGATTGTTACATGCCCGATCTGATATCATGATTCCGGTGCTGCCTGTTCTAAGTCTCCCTTCCTCTCCAAATAAGCAACCCGACGCGCATTCGCCGTCACGCCATTGGCTCCAACCGCCGTGAACTTCTTCTAAATTTGCCGTCTGCTTAAGCGCGCCGCTGAAGTCATACTTGAAGCCCGACTTGGTGATGCATCTGCCTCCCCTGCACCACTGCAAAGTCGTTCTACGCTAAACGTTTTGAAATTGGTGATTTTTATTATTAAATTAAAATTAAAATCAACTTAAACGACTATAACGATATAGACAAGGGCTCGATAGGTAGTCTGAGGATGAATCACAAGCCTCCATTTTGAAAAAAAAAGTATAGTAACAATTTTTAAAAATTGCTCCACTCTCAATTTGTAATGTACGCTTGAAACCTTTTGATTTGACAGCTAGGTGTCGGAGATATTCACTGTATTCAACTACTTGTTTGAATAAATAAGGTACTAAAGGCCAGTTTTCAAAAAAACTTCCACAGGGTACTGTAATACTATTTACAAATCTTCTGGATTCTTCCTGCGTCGTTTGTTGATGAATCGAACTTGCTGACGTTTCACCTATTTTCGTCGTCAGAGCTTAACTGAAACTGGCTAGCATTCTACTCTGTACCAGAGCTAAAGGATGTATGTCTTGTATGACTGATCACATATTGATGAAAGGTAAACAAACACCTGAGTCGCTGTTAAGATTGTTTGGTTGTTTACATGCAAGAATTTTAGTTTTATTTTTAATTATCAGTTTCGTAATTAGTTTATTACATGTAGTAACTGATGTTTTCAATGTAAGGAAGGACGACAAGGGCAAGTGTGGGGTTGCTTTGTTGCATTGTCCTTGGAAGGTTGTGGTGAAGTATATTTTGTGATGGATCCCTTAATATATGTAATGGGGAAATTATTAGAGAGAAGACTAAGTAAATCTTGAAGGAAAGCCAAATAAAAAAAGTATTATCAACGTAGCGTTTCCATAATTTTGGTTTTACATGGTAGATGTCGAAAGCTCTCTTCTCAAAAGCTTTCATAAATATTTTCGAAGTGACTGGTGAAAATGGACAACCCATAGCTATTCCCGCTATTTGTTCAAAAATTTCACAGTTTATAAGAAAAAATATGTTGCAGGCAAGCATTTTTCAATTAAGACGGAAAGGTTTGGTTCCAGATTCTCGGATTTTAATATATCCGAAACAATGTTGAGAGATTCAGGAACAGGGACTTTAGTAAAGAAGGAATCTATGTCGAAACTAATCAGAATATCCTGTGGATCTAATGTAATGGTTTTTAATTGTTCCATGAAACGAAATTAATTACATACGAAGCTATCAGTTTTGTTTACAGAGTCGTAAAACTATCTGAACCCGACTCACTGAACCTAAAATTAAAACACCTTATAACTTCTCTCCAATAATTTCCACATTAGAGATATTAAGCGTTCTATCACAAAATACACTTCACCGCAACCTTTCAAAGACAATGAGTCCGAAAGCAACACCACAGTTGTCCTGTTGTAGATTACATTCTTCACACACGCGTCAAGCACTGCTCATATCATAACCGTTATCTTATCTTTATTAACTTATCTTTATTAACTGATTCGAAAAAGAAGATATCATAACAGCAGAGAGAAAACTCAATATCTTACTGAGGTAGGTCGCCTTTATAACCTGAAACCATAATTAAAAAAACACTTGAACGAATTCCTGGAGCACATTAACAATACTATCATACTGATGAGGCTTACGATGGAGCAGGAAGGGAAAAGACTGCTACTTTTCTTTTAAGTAAGCGAAGCAATACTAAAGAACTAGAAAGAAAGTATACATTAACACAAAATAATAGTTATCAAAAATTGGCAATAAAAAAGATTATTCATATTGAAAAAGAAATACATTCTGTAAATGATGGACAAGATATTAATAATTTTAGTCGGTTATAACATAATTTAAACTAAAAATTAACAGTGTTGAAATTATACCAACCATTACACAAACCCTTAATAAATAATAAATTGAAACATCAAAGTCAAATTATTCATATAAATTATTACACATTTGTATTTTCCTAATTCATTGAAAATATGTATCACTAAGGTATTTAAATATCTTTATATAAACTATTTAATTTATATAATATTTGTATGTTCATTCATAACGTTGGATAAAACTTAAAAATTGAACGAATTTTGCGATTATTGAACAATCTCAACCCAACCCAATGATAGAAAAATAAAGACAAATTATAAATATTTGGGAATAATCTTTTATTTACCATTAAAAAAAAAGCGGTATTTGACTGCGATTTGGTTAATGTTTCAATTCATAGGTCCTTGTGTTCAGTTTTTAAAGGGTCGGCTATATAAACGAGATAATTGGATTGACATATTAAAATAATAGTAAGTAATAGTAGTTATAGTAATAGTAATTTTTTCAAAAAACGTCCAATTTATAATAAGTTTTTATATTTAGTTTATGAGATATTGGTTCCCAAAGTTTGAAGAAAAGCGTTTTATAAGATAAATATTACCTAGTTAGGAAAACTACATAAAAATATAGTAAATATTCAATAACATACTGTTGTTGACGAGAACCTTTTTCTTTCTTATTTTCGTTGTGTACTATTAAAGCCGTTAAAGAAGAAAAAACATACCAAAAAATATTAGTTTTCATTCATTCTAGATGGTGAAAGTAGTGTTTCTTTTTTCCTTTCTACTTTTTAATGTTTCAAATTTTTCTAACCCTCTATATATTGATACGGACATCGTTTTTAAACGTTTCTTTTGTTCAACATTTTATTATTACTACGAGGTGCGTTAAAAAACAAGACTTTAGAATAAAAAAGTAATACTGTTTTTTTTTAATAATTTCTTAAAAAGACATAAGTTAATTTTCGTTGTACTTCCACAATACAAATCTACGAAAAATATCTATTATTTACATAAAATAATGTATATATCCGTATTGTAAATTACGTTAAAAAATAATAATAAATACTGTTGTTGATGGTAAAAATAGTGTTTACAGAAAAAAAGAAATAAAAAATTATTTAAACATAAACAAAAATCGGTTTTCGGGCAAAAATACATAATTAAGCTTTATGTTATAGCGTTTAGATTCTACTCTGCCTATAAAACTAAAAGCAAAGGAATAAAATATATTTCGTTGTTACTGATAAAGTTGTCTAGGAAAATATTTTGGTTGAGCCGTCACATAAGTTATATATAAATAATATGCACCTTATATGAAATAGTATGGAGCTAATATAATAGAAATTAACTTATTTGTTTGTGAGGAATTTAAAAAAATTACAAAATAATTTTTCGTTTTTAAATCTTTTTTAACCCACCCCGTAGTGAAAATAAAATGATCAGTAATGACAGTAATATTTTTCATTTTGCTTAATAAGTAGTAATAAGTAGTTAATAACTAAGCACTGAACTCACCATACCACTGCCGCAGTACGTGCCCTCCAAAGCAGGGTGCGATGTCCACGTGTACTTGTCTTTTTCGCAGTGAAGATCCCTGCACACATCGTCCAAAGGTTGTTGCGACGAGTGTTTGCTTCCCTTTCCGTATTTCAACATACCTTTTTTACAAAGCCCATTCGAAATTACCCCTACAGGTTCAAAATACTTCGGTAGATTTACTCACACTGCTGATTGGCATCGAATCGTTCTCCAGGAAGGGCGCCTTCTGCGCCGTGGTCTAACTGACCTGCAGAACTACCGTGATCCAACAGACATCTAGACTGCGGAGTGCTAAAAATAACTCGCGTGTGTGTAATCGAGTTTTTTCGAAATCCTATTGGGGTACTTACTCTAAGAACTTCTGCAAATATCGTTTGCTGCAAGGCGACCAGGTGATCTTGCCGCTGCCTAGCGTAGGTGACATTATATAGCTGCTAGGGTCGCAATCGTTGTCCGCTAGGGGTCCGTCGTGTCTCATTCCTAAGCTAATAGCAAAACTGTACGATATAAGTGTGTCTTGGGAAGTCAGAATCCAACCTCAACAACACTTCACAAATCTGTACTCTATATTTACGTACGCTCTATATCTTAATAGTATTTTATGCAACAAGTTTAGTAAACGCAACTTTGGGGTTGGCATTTGTGAGGGGCATCCAAGAACGGTTATTTGTAGAAATTATGTACATACAGAAATAAAGACATTATTATTATTATTATTAATATTATTGTTATTATATTCAATGATAGTCTAAGTTTAAAAATTAAAAAAAAAAAAAGATAATAGCTGTCCCTAGAATTCCCTTATGAATGGAAACATGGGTAGACCTATTTAAACAGTTCTGCAGCGTATGAACAAAATAAAGCGAGGTACTTAATTCCTTAAAAAAATAAAGCTGGAGTATTTTATTTAGGAATTGCTCCATATAATTAATCACGTAAAAATAGAGGAAAAGTGTCGCCCTAGTTGCCAAAAAATATTTATCCAAGTGAAGATCATGCGACTGATAGTCAATGTTCTGGAAGGACATGGCGAAGAAAAATAGTATCCTTTTTTTCTCATTCATTGTTGACGTTTTTTTGCAAAAGTGAATTGTCACGTGACCGTCAAAATTGGCAAAACGTAAAATCTACAGAGTAGCTGACCTAGAAACGATAAAGTTGTACTTTGCGCATGCTTGATCGGCGCATAATTGGGTATTTTAGAATAGCAGCGCCCCTTTGAATTTGGAACATGACTTATGAGATTTTAGTCTTACTTGTGTCCTATTTCGTGAGCTACGACATAAACGCTTTCAAAATGTCGGCCCTCGTTTACGGTACAACTGCTCGTAGGGGTGCACATACCGGCCACGGGAGCTAAACCTTCAAACAAAATTTGGAGTATCAGTGCAAATATTTTGTTTTTAATGAAAAACTTATTTATGAAGAGTTTTTAGAATATTTTTGGAAGGACACAAATAAAAAAAATTGCTTGAATTTCAAATGTTAATTTAAGTTTTTTTTAACTTAGGAATTTACAAATACTTTTCTCTATGCAAAAATTAAAAATAAAAATCAACAACAACTTTATAACTCTACAACCTTTTCCAACTGAAACAGACATCAATTTTCAAAGCTGCGATTATTTATGCTCTTTTCCATTATTTTTTAATTTTAAGATAATAAAATATGGCTTCAAAATAAACTGATCGGAAAAAAGAAAAAAAAATGATTGTTTGATTGTGATATTTTTTTCACAAATAATTCTTAACCACTCTCCCTACATCATTAAGCTCTAATATTATTAAACTTGATTAAGATTGTCAGCACATTAAGGCAGCTCCTTCTGAATCACAGAATCAAAAAATTTTTCTTCCGCTAATACAACAAATTTAAAATTTCAATAAAAACTTTAGTAGTAGGTATATGTTTCGGTTAAACAATCATCATCAGCTGTAAAAATTTAGGAATGTTTGATAACATTTTATACCTCAAAGATCTCAAAAGCTATACGCAGGACACAAAATTTTTAATTTAAAATACAGTGTGGTCACGGGGTTTCATGGATAACATTTAAACTATTAAAGATACTTTTCTAATTTCATAATTAGTATTTCATGTCTATTGTCACTCGTTTTCGACAAAAAACAATTGAAAATCTCAGTTTTCATGAAATACCTCGTAATGGTTTGTACTTTTTACCTCGCACAAAACGTTTATTCAATTTAACCGACTTTGTATTTACAATGATCTGAAGGTTCCCCATACAATCCGATTGAAAAAGTGACCACCATGTATATCAAGTACAGTAATACAATTTTAAATTGAAATTGCTTTCACTGAATAAAGACCACTTACCCACAACTTGATTGGATATTTTGCCGTGTTTTCCTCTGACGTACAAGTCGAGACCGGTTAAAATCAACGCGTGGTCCCAATGCAACGGTTCCCGATCTCCCGCCGGATTCTTGGTGCGTTGCCAATTGCAGAAATTCGACAGGAATCTGTCGATATCGGGCGGCCTCGCTAAACCCGGCATCTCCTCTTTCAGAATCTCCAATCGCTTTAGCACGAAATTCACCGGCCTTCCGAGAGATGGGTCATGGTACAAAAGTTGGACCTGTTCATTTGAACGTCACAGACCATCATAAATGTCGATAAAATAGGATATTTTTGACCTTCTTTCAGGAAAAAAATCAATATTTGGACCTAGATCGATATATTCCTCGATCTCTCGAATACCTGCCAATATTTACATGGAATGGTATTTGGTTTATGATACATTCATAATCTGGAATAGCAACCATGAAGAACTTCAAGGTTTTATGTACCCCACTAACAATCGACAATCATTTACTATGGAGAAAGAAGAAAGTGGCCGGCTTGCCTTAATGCATGTTTTAGTCACCGAATATCGAAAACTACCAGAACCTCACAAAAAAGACAGTAACGAAAAACAGAAATTAAATATACCAAGATGAATGAATATAATTTTGTGATGTGATGATGCATTCAGGTATCGATCAGTAGAATTAGATTGAATGGACTAAAGTAAAGTCTGATTTTGATATTTGAGATGCGTTGGTTAGGATATTTTCCAGAAATAGAAATTAAGAGTAGGATTGGACGATTCAAAAAACCTTTTAAAAACTTCGAAAATTTCTTCCAAATAATCTATTTATTAATTATGGTCACTTCTTTTTGTATGGTGTGAAAACGGCATCATCGATAAACAAATTAGAAGCGTCAAAATTTATAACAAATAGTGATCTACATTTTCAACTCAGATACAAAATGGCGCAGCGTTATTTATGCTCTGTTCTTTTGTCGTCAATAAACAAACGAAGCTTTTGAAATGCGGGTACTTCAAAGAATGCTGCAGATCTCGTGGGTGGAAAGAGTATCTAACGATGACTTTATTCGTCGCGCAAATCTTGAGGAGTGTGAGTTATTTGCCCAAATCCAAAAACAGAAAAAAATCCTATCTGAGGCACATGATACGTGGTGAACGCTATTGGTGTCAACGTTTTTTGGAAAATCGAAGGAAGAAGGGGTTTCAACCGCTTCAAATTGTGGCCTTAAACAGAGAAAATTGATATTGAACAAGGCTGGTTTTCGATTAATAAGAATGTCTGGAAAGGGAAGAGCGTTGTTATAATCTAATTAAATAGTGAAATTGATGTTTGGATGTATGGAGTTTGGGTAATTTAGAGGAAACAAACTCTTGGCAGTGTGACCCGATCATCATCTACATATATTTTCCACGGTTACCCGACGTACGAGAAATCTAGAAGAAGTATCCCAGAGCCTTCGGAGGTTTTTTTGAAAAATGAAAGACAATGGTCCAAAATATCTTATTATTAATTATTTCCAATATTAACTTACCGCATTAATCATAGCCAAAACGAATCGTATCACTTCTCTCTCGGTGTCGACGGGAAAGTTGATTTTCATGTGATCGAAGAGATCGCGATCCACAAACACCGCAGTCTCGACGAAAACTGTGGCGCCTATCGGAAAAGTATCGCGTCTTCTTCTCTTCAAAGTTTTGCCCATTTTTTGAGAATTTTTGGTCTTAAGTTTAACTTTGGTTATCGAATCTTTGGTTTGATTTGACGCGAAGAAAATTCCTTCGGGTTTTGGTCGTTCGTAATCTCCGATAGGACTTTTCCTTTCATGGACATTCCTTATCAAAAGATGCGGTAGTTGTCGAAGCGTACTATTTGACTTCTTGGACAGTGGGTATATGGCGTAGTAATGGCGTTGGTTGACGTGAACTATACCTCTCTGCAAAAATATAATCTTTGTTACCTCACGATTTCAAGTATCATTTTTTAAATTATCTTTTTTTTATATTAAATATGAATTATATTTAATATTGATTACTATACATACGCACACGTTCTTGTGCATTTTTTTGTAGTAAATAGAAGATATGTAGGGTAGGTCAAAAAGTAGATGCGATACCAACTTTCTTTTTTTAAATACAACATCTTTTTTTTAATCTATTTCCGAATTCACGCATAATTCATGTAGCATACTCTATACCTGTCTCTTACTTTTTATGAGAAACACAATATAAAACAGAAATATAATTTTGAAATGAACAGCTAAGTAGATAGTACCAATAAAGTTCTTAAATTGTCACAATTACATTTTTGATAGTAATGAAAGTGAATTTGAATTTTATTTTTGATTTTAAATATCCCTAGAGGAAAAAATCCAGTGGAGCGATATTTAGCGATCTTGCAGGCCATTCTATTGATCCTCTTCTACCAATTCACTGTCCGGGAAATACTGTATTTAAATAAGAACTGCGAGAGTAAGAATTAGTTATTTTGAAGAAATTGTAAATATCGGGCTTCGATAAGATTTTGATCGAAGAAATAAGGTCTAACAATTTTGTTAATAAAAATCCAAAAAACATATATTTTTTGTGAAACAAAACGTGGCTTCATCACTAAACAGTATCTGATGATGGAAAAATGGATTTAAGTTGCACATTTTCATCATAATTTCACAAAACTATAATCTGCGATCGGGATCATCTTCGTTCAGCTCTTGTAGTAGTGTAACCAAATTAACCAAAACTGTTTGTTGGATACAACCATTAGGTGAAGATACTTCAGAAGATGCACGATGGGGATTATCCTCAACTAATAAAATATTTAATCTTGTGTCCTCATTAGGATTTTTTCGACTTCGCCGTAAATTTTCTCTCAATTTTATTCACTGTTAATGGGTCTTTCTGGATTTGCGTTTCACAAATTACAAAAAATCTTCTTGAATTTTCGTTTTGTCTCCATATCCAATAAAAAATTGAATTTATTTTCTCTGAGATTCATTTAGATACCCCATATTCACTTTCTGTACTGACAAAAATGTAATTTGTAATTTAATTTAATTAATTTAATTTAATAACTTTACTGGTAACAAATACTTCTACTTCTACTAAAGCAGTTCATTTAAATTCTGTTTTTTGTTCTTTTGCTCATAAAAAGTAAGTGAATCATGCATGAAATGTATTATCGACATCTACTTTTCGGTATATCCCGCAGAAGGAATCCAGAAGATTTGTAAATAGTATTACAGTAGACTGAGAAAGTTTCTTTGAAAAAATATCAACACTGACAATTTAACCATATTTGTTAATTGTATCAAAACACAATAGTTATTGCTATAGTCAATTCACTGAAAATTTCACGCATTATTTTCCTTCCTTTCTCGCAGTTTGGAAGATTAAGAACGGTAAAAACCCGGAAGTTTTCATATTTAGTATTTTACTCGTAATAAAACTGGTGGTGGTGGTAATACTTAAATACGTGTGACTATTGTTCCAGCACACTATTACTCTTATGTTTCATTTCACACCCTCAAGAATAATAAGGAAAAGCAAAAGAAGTTCCAATATTTAGTTGTTATTGAAACTCGTCAGTTTCCGATTAATTAGTAAATTTGTGTGGTTCGCAGGTTCCCAATAATATTAAATTTTTCCACTCATTTTATTTCATTTACTTTGCAAAAAATACAAATAGGTACTTTTTAAAAGGGTCAAACTTTATATATATATATATATATATATATATATATATATTTGTACATATACCCCCACATTTACGAATGTGAAGTTATATATCAAAAAAGGAAAACTAAATATTAAATTCTAATTGATAAATTACTACTAAAACTACTGATAATTTCTAAGCACACACACATCGCTCAGTTACGTAATCTCTCCTGTATGTGTGTGTACATTTTTTACAGCTTCAATAATGATTACACTGATTTTTTTTTATTTTCGACCTAAAGCTTAATTCAGATTCATGTCTTTTGTAATCTGTAATGTACATTGTACATTTTTTGTAGTAAATAGTAATGTAATATATATTTCTGGACTTTCAGAGAGATAAAGGACTCATGTTTTCATAAACCTTTATGCTTAAATTTGCTTCAACAGTGGCGTTCCTACTAAGTCACACCGTGTATATTAATAGACTTACAACACCATCGCACAAGCTGAGGGCAGCATTGGTTCCTCGGTAAAAGCAATAAAGGTCTTTAGACTCGACCGGCAGCAAAGACGATGCGTTGGCAAACGTTTCGAACATTAAGAAATCATCGGACACCATTTTGGGCGACCGATGAAGCTCTAATTGAAATTTTTCTTCGAATTGGGGTGCGTTTATGTAAACGCGGTGAGTGCCGTTATTGGAAGATGGCGGCTCGTACGTTGGATAAGTAATCGTAAAATTTCCATCTGAAAGTTGATAAAAAGCATTAGACATAGGGCGTCCTAATGATATACGGATATTTAAGGAACATTTACAATATTATTTGAAGCTATATACGGGGTGAGTTAAATATAGTGTATAGTTAATTAACTCATTGGTTTCAAAAGTTATGAGAAAATGGTAAATGCAAAAGTTGTAAAGATTGTTTAAGGTAAACAGCGTTATTGGAAGATGACGTTAAAGATATATGTAACGGAATTTGAATTAGATGCTATCGGATATTCAACATATATTTGGATGATTTTAAATTGAAAAATCTCGATTTTCTTAAACGACACCCCATACATATTCTTATTTATAAAAATATTTACCCTTCTTTCGGGCTAAGACTATAATAATATTTACATAATAATTACAAATAACATTATAAGAATTTAAATTTAAAATTGCTAATATCTACGACTTCAACAAAGTTCTTTCTCCGGTTCATTTTTTAATCTTAACAGAGCCCTGTTGGCTAATATTTTTCTTATGGCTAATATTATAGCAACAGTCTTAGATAGAAAGAAGGGTAAATACTGGAATAGGTAAAATAAATTGCAAAGTATTAAAAATAGGAATATGACATATTTAATAAAAGTTGTAGCTTTTTGTAAGATCATTCAGTAAAAATACACTGGCAGACAAAAAATTTAGGTCAAGAAATTTAAAATAATTTGGAAAAAAAGGTTTATCCTCGACTCGTCGGTCTAGTAGGCAGTGAATTATTTTCTTACGAACAAATGCGGATGGAGATATTTGTTATCTGTCAGTAATTTTCAGCGTAGTTTCGACTTTTTATGAAATAACGTAAGTTCGGCCTAATTAAAAATTCGTACGTTAGGTCCTTTGATTTATCCCCATAAAACTTAAGTTTGTTTAGTGTATTGAATTGGTCATAAGGTATTTAAATCCTATTTTTCGTTGCTAAAATTGTAGCGTTAATACAAAATGATCGAGGAAAACGGGAAACTGCAAGATTTTTTATTAGGACTCTATGTGCTGGTGTCCGTAGGTTTGCTGTTGGGAGGTCAGAAATGTTAATGTTAGCGAATGGGCTGTTAGAAGAAGGCTTCGTACTAATCGATTGTCTTGTCGAAGGATGGCTACAGAACCGCCATTACACCGACAGCATCGAATAGAAAGATTAGTTTTTGCCCTAATTCACTTAAACTGGAATGATTACGAATGGATAAATCTCGTTTTTGTCTCACTGTGTCAGATGGACGTCGGAGAATATGGAGGAAACTCGGATAAAGATATGTCATAGGTTGTATTGAAGAAACACTTCCACCGGCTCCAAGAAGTGCCCATGACCTTACAGAGTTGCTAATGCAGGAACGGAGCAACATCGACCAGAAGATAATCCGTAATTTAATTCAAAGCATGAATCATCGATTGCAAGAAGTCATAAACGCAAGAGGAGGGAGTATACGTTATTAATTTTCAGGTTTTCTCAATATTGTTAATCGTTACAAATAGTTACAAAGAAAATAATTTGGCTTTGTTTATAAGAGGCAAAATCATGAAAACCAACATAAGATTTCGGATTAAGTGTTAAATCAGTTTACCGAACAGACTAGGATAGATAATTTACCACCTACTACATCGACGACTTGGTGATAAACTTTTTTTCCCAAAAAGTGTGTAATTTCTTGAGTGATCTAAATTTATTGCTTGCCCGTGTAATAATATGTGCAATTTAAGGAAATCGAGATTTTTCAATATAAAATGATAGAAATATATTGTTTTATTTTGAAAACCCTGTAGCATCTAATTCAAATTCCGTTGCATATATCGTTTACATAATCTTTAAATAACGCAAATATCAAATATGAGTGACGTACCTTCAAAAATAATGGCGTTATCGCAATTTTTGGCAAGTGTGAAAACTAGTTTTTTTTAGAACAATTAAAATATTGGAAAAACCATTGGGTTTAGGTATATATGTTTTATTCTTCGCACTTTTTTGTGTCACCCTGTATACTTTAAAATAATTTTAAACTGTGCATCCTAACAATCTTTACAACTTTTGTATTTACCATTTTCCCATAACTTTTGAAACCAATGAGATAATGAACTCTAACACATTGCCTTGTCACGTTGGGAATTCCACATGGGAGCGACATTGGTCTTATTTTATTTGTAATTTACATAAATAATATAACAGAATTGCTAACACCAGTACAAAAAAAATACCGAACTATGCGGACGATACAAGTTTTCCTTTAGTGATATAAAGATTTCTAAAGGACACTGTTACGAACTTTATGAAGATAGTTGAACACTGGTTTAACAAGAATAAATTAGTTGTTAATAATATAATACTATTCAAGAGGAACAAGTACAAAGTAATAAATAAGCAAAAAATTCTTGGATTTGTTTCTGGACAATATGTTGACTTGGGATTCCCACTTTGGTTATGTTGTGGGTAAATTAAATTAGGTGTGTTATACTTTTCCGGTTCTAAAATACTAAAATACTACATAGACATCATGCAAATTTTGAAAGTCGCATTAGATATGGAGTACTGCAAAAGCGTGCAATCAGAACCCTTCTAGGTTTGGAAAGTCTTATGGAGAAAATTTAAGGATTGCGGCAGTTTTGTGATCCCTTTTACCTCCAGTGAGTTACAAACTGTTTATTTCACACAGCGACCAAGATTCTGTGCGACCGAAAAGAGCGCTTACCTTATTATTAGTATAAACGTTTTGAAAAAAGAAATTTTTAATATTCTAGTCTCGATGGAAATTTTATACCAAGCTGAGAAAATTGTAAATTTTGGTTTTTTTGACACTATTACATGTATGTATTAAATGAAAACATTTTATTATTAAAAATTCTTCCCTAGTTTCTCCAGAAATATTTGCCTTGCGAGGTCCAAAGTGCTAAGTTTCTTATTTCTCGAGCATTTGTTTGAAAATTTCGAGCATGCACGCAGTGGCGTCTTTTCAACGGCGATATTCCGGGTTCAAACACTGACACAATATTGTTCAATTGAATGCGTATGGTATATTGAAATTTTAAAATTGATTAAGTACAATATATTGAAATTGAAACTCTCGAAGTCGTTTTCTAAACATTGTTAAATTTTATTAATTAATGGGCACCCTATATTTTCGTAACTAACCAAAGCAAAATAAACTTTTCCAAAATTTTATTTCCAAAGAAGCATTGAACTGTGTATTCAAGAAGGTGTTAGTAGCTTCATTTGGTAACAAGTTACTTAAACGTATTTTTTAAGCAAGCAGATTTAGGATTATTTACTAATGTAAATATCGTTTTATAACGCTATATTTTTGGCAAATAAAAACAAGAATTAATCAATTATACAAATGTATTTATTAGTGTAAAATTCACCAATTGGGTTACTGAATTCTTAATCAAAACACAAATAAGTAACAACATTCCTCCTCCTTTTAACAATTATAAAAACCAATGACATGAAGTCTCAGAAGACCCACGCAATTAATAATACATTTGCATGTATGTTTTTTGTTTTTTTTTTAATATTTTTTATTTTTCCAAAACACCACATTGAAATTCAAAAAGAATTATATCGTCATAAACAGGAATCAAAGTTCCATTCTTTAATGCCTGGTATTTTAGTTTTGGGCGGTAGTTTATTATACATATAATAAATGTAACCAACATTGAGAAAAGTCGTTGTGTGAAAGAAAATCGATTCCCAAGCCATCTCCCGTTTGATTTCCAAACAATAAAGATTGAGATAATATTTTCACAAAGTCCCCACTTTCGATACCATTGATAGCCTTCTTTTCTATTTCATTGACTTAATTGTCTTATTCCTGGCGCACCTTATTACAAAATGTATATTCCGCGTGGCGTTTTCTCTTCGAAAAACGAAAATTGCGTGGGAAATGAACATCTTCGTTCGTTATGTCAACGTCCTCGTCTATATTTCAAAACGATTTATTGCCATCATAATATAATTATTAGATATTTTTCAATAATCCGCGAACTATAAATTAATTACAAATTATTGCTGGGAATGTAGGAGTCGTGTTCGACAAACATGTTTCTTTACGGTCACACATTAACAACAGACTCAAGATTGCTTTCGAAAATGCGTTGAAAAAGTGAGATTGGAACAATTTCTGCACGCTAAAACTAAATATTATGTATTTGTGCGACAGCCTTATTTTGTCTTTGTTTGATTACGCAGATATAGTTTATGGGAGCTAACTAAATGAGAGCTCACGCCATTCAGAAAATTCGAAACTGTTATGTGCATTTTTCTTATAAAATACAATTTAGCGACCAAATTTGAATAGCAGTGGTACACTGAACATGAATTATTGCATATGCAACCTATGTATAATTTTACTTACAGAATTTTGAACTCTAGTGAACCTGACTATCAGAGGCAACAGTTTACAGTTTCGAAATGATTTGAATCATGAGAGCTCTAGCGATATAGTTTTCAGGTGCTGGTTCTTTTGTTATTGAATTTCAATCAAAATAATCTCATTGGAATAAAATCATTAATTCCGACAGCGTGTTAGAAGACAATTTTATTTTCGGCAATAAAAAGTGTTCCGCGACTTTTTTTGTAGCTAGAAAGTGAGTAGTGTCAACAAAATGATTTGATTGTTTCCGGAAGGGTTTGAATAATAAATTTTTGTAAATTTTGACATTTTTTCAAGCACTACATTCCAAATCACTGACTAATAAATAACACACACTTCTTAAGAAACTTGTAATTGATGATACATCGTTCAACAATCCAGGTAATTCCATCAAGCCTAGTGGATAATTGCTAATAATTGCTAATAATTCCTGCCCAGACGAGCCAAATAAACTTTGTCGTGGCAAAGTTTAACATATTCTAATGACTTTCTTGCTACAAACTTTTTTTTGTCAAGTAGGGGACTCAGGCGATAATTTTTGTTATACTTTAATCTTTTCGGCATATTACAGTGTCTCATCCATTTGCATTTGCGAAGAAAAATTCCAAAAATTAAAATTTTGTCGCAGGTTTAAAAGACGGGAAGGGAAGACAATATAGAAATTCCGTTCCTAGGATGAGGCGGTTAGTGAAAATATTGACTGCAAAATTGAATAAAAAATGTCAAGGCCGTAAAATTTTAGTTACTCCAAACTATATTTCATGGATACAATCTGGTAAGGCACGATTAGGAAGCCTTTTGTGGTAAATAGCTTTTATTTTACCATTCCCCAAAAACACAAGAGGTCACCTTTATGCCGAAATTTTTGAACTATCCAGAAAAATATTGACCTGAGAACATGTCAGTAGCACGATATTTTTTTTCTTCCTAAATATGCGATAAACAAGAGTACCGTCGTTATCTAGTGTCAATAAAAAGTTTTGTCTGAAAATTATACCCAATTATAGTCATAGTCGGTATTATCGTGAAACAGGTAGATTTGGCTGGAAGTGATTCAACATCTTCGCAAAACGAATCTGTGAAAAGTATTAAAATGAAAAAAGGATGTGGTGGTACCTTAGGTATTTATAATATGATATGATTGGATTTGACTCTACTCTCGTTTTATCACATTTTAAAAATATAATAATTAACAATATGTGTTTTTTTTAATATAAAAGATAATGAAATCAAATTCAAAAAAAAATATTCAAAAATCATCCTAAAAAAATATCCAACCTCTCAAAATTATTCGTATAAAACGAAGCCAATTATGGTCTATACTTTCTTTTCCGCATCAATGAGCTATAAGGCAGCCGTAAAGACTTTCTTATACTTCATTCTTTGCGATTGTTGTGGAATCAAAGAAAGTTTATTTTTACTGCGGTCGCATTTGCATACAATGGTACAGATCGGAACGATCTACCGAACAGCTAGACAGTATGTCTATAATTACCGCGAAGTGAAGTGAAATACGTTCGGAAACGTTATTTTTTCTTTTCGCTTTGCATTTCGGGATTTTCAATTTTAAGATGACAGATCACATTCCGCAAAATTTCGAGTCATCATATTTTTTTTTCGTGTTTACCTGAATTTCCAATCAAGGAATCCCATTGGTTGTCTGCGAGTCGCTGCCTCAAGTTGTCATAGATTTCCTAAAACGAAATTAATTTTCCATTAGACAAAATCGTTTCGTTGTTAAAGGCTATTTCGGAAAAGTGTAGATTAGTAAAATTTAGTAAAATGGAAAATGTAGTTCAATTCGGTGCACTTTTTTACCACTTAACATCTTACCTGATATCAATATTAAAAAATATGAAATTCATAATGTAAAAGTTTTTTTAATGAAAAGCGGTGAAATAGTTCCTTAAAGGTTATTATTCTAAAGTTTGTCCAGTCTTTTCATTAACGTTGAGGAGCTGTAAATTTTCAACAACGCCCTTTTATAAATGGTAGTCGCAATATGATCAGGAAAACGTTTTATCTATTAAATAAAAAAAAATAAAGTCAAAAAATAATAATGGATGATTCAAGTTTAGGGTCCTATTAGAAGTTTCGCAGCGTTGTCAATTCAACTCGAAATGGACGACAGCAGTGGAAATCGAATGGGACTTCATGGACACGTAGGACGTTCTCTGAATTAGCGAAAATTTCTGAGTTATTGTTTTTAAATATTTTCCATCTCTTCGACCCTTAGTTCGAAAAAAAAACAACTTTAATTTATTTTTGCAGAAAACCTCTTGATTAAAACTCAATAACTTTTTGTGCAAGTGAGCTAGTTATTTTAAAATTTTGTAGGGATAAGCTATTAATCATACAGGGTATCCGAAAAATTTAAATTTCTAAAAAAAGCAGTTAAAACTCATTTTTTTCAAAACACTAGAGATTACTGTTTACTTCGGAAACTTTTAACACATTCACATTACTTGTAGTTAAATTTTTGCAGTCAATATGCAAAATACAAATATATACAAAATATATAATACATAAAATATAGTACAAAAATACATATTTTTACTTGCGGCATCTTAATTAGAACGGAATTATATTAGTCTCCTGTCTAACCTTTCGACATATTCATTTCTATACCTCCTCTTTCCTTAAGCATGAGACAAAACATTTCCTATTTTTGTGAGGTCACGATTGATTTTTTTGCGATTTTCCATATCCATGTTAGTCGACGAGACGTTGTCATATGCCAAAAAGATCAAAGTATAGGAAATTTGAATTATTGGCTGGGTTTGCTTCTTGACAAACTTATCTTTTATGGCAACAATGTCACTATAATATGATAAATTTCATCTGCCATGACTAAAAGTTTATTCGGCCCAGACTATAGAAAAAGTGGTATTGCAAGAAATCGACGAACATCTTGAGACGAGTGCGAGCAAGTTCATTGTAATAAAATTGTTTGAAGGATTTTGATTATCAAAAAAATCTTCATACACGATCCTATATCCATCGATAATCGTTTCTTTGAGATCTGAGTGAATAGAGATTGGTCCCCGTTTTAAAAATCCACCTAAAAATGATTTATGTTACTGTTTCTCCGTGCTTGGTTTAGAACTTTTTACCAATATCAATTCTTTTTCAAGACGACTTAAAACATAAGCTAATCATAGCCTACATAGAAGGGAAACGAGAAAGGCAGAGGGAATCGTCATGACTGTAATGACTGTTAACATTTTTATCTGCTCGTAAGAATTTTTGGGAAAATAAACCAAACCGGTCCAGGGTATTAGTAAAGAAATTCAAGCGCAAAATTTATGAATCCATTCTGGTGTATTGCGCACTGTATAATTGTAATTATATAAATAACATAAACACCAATGGTTGTCAATATTTTAAAATCTAAATCCCATTTTGTGTAGAAGTCGGCACAATGGCTATAAATCGACCATTTTCTTTTAATTTCTGTTGCAATACTCAAGGAATCGACGCAAGGCTGACCTTGGAATGACGTTAATTAAACTGGCAGTGGCAGATATCTGTGCAATTGTCCGATATTAAAGATAAAAATATCTGTATTACATAGTTACTTTCATATACTCGTAAAACGATTCTCTTGCAGTACATATTCAAATGCCACTTTCTTTTTGGTTCGTTACTCCCTTCAATTCTGTCGTTGAAATTTTCTTCAACTCATGACCTAAATATAACAAATAATGACTGTGATACCAAAGCACAAATGATTTTAAAATTTCTAACTATAATAAAACTTACCTAGAATTTTGTGCAAAACCAGGGCTTTGAGTTTAATTCACACGCTAGAGATGCGTAACTATTTCAAAAAGATAAATCATGCGATGGCCCACTGTGGCCATATACCAAACTTGAAAAAAAAACTATTGAGTTCACCAGAACTTTTAAGAAGACACTCAAAGTGAATCAATGTGAAAGAAAACTTTCAAGCTACTTCAATATCCCCCGTCAAAATAAATAAGGAAGACATGCAGATTAACAAAATGAGACATTCAGATGTATTGCTTAACGATCAGTTAGATGTAAATACCTCTCCTTTATTAAACTTAAATCCTCACAACAACATTAATTAAGGTTTTATTGTCATTTTTCGGTAATATATAGTAGCAGGTACTTTGTAAATATTACATTTGATAAAGACACGGTGTTCTCGAAACAATTGTGATGTAAAAATATATAATTTCGTGAAAATCTGAACTTTTAGTTCTTATTTATTTTGATAAATGGATTTTCATCAAGTAAAAGCCACCTCAGTTCAATCCCTCGTCAAGTTTCATTTATTACGCCACAATAACGAATAAAATTGGTTATTTTGTTGCACGTGGATCGATATTTCGAATTATTTTGTTGTTTTATTCTTCGTTAACTCACTTTGGCTCCGTATATGTAAACCGATAATGCGAAAAACTTGTATTAAATGGAAATATGTAATTATCGCGTACGGCCATTGTAGTTTTAACACTTTAAGCGGCCCGAGCGTTTCAAATCGACCAGTCAATTTTTAATTTATTTGTTCGCGTTATTTTTAAAAAGGTGCTACGCCGGGCGCATAAAATAAGCGCACATTTTTAATTTTTAAGCCGGTAGAGAAATGTCAAGGACGAGAAAGAGCAACAATACTTCGGGCGTCATTTATTGGCTATAATTAAAATTACTTCCAAGTTATTAAGCGATATTTAGCATATAAGCACTTAAGACTCCTATACTGAAGCAGAAGCAAACTTTCGAGCGTCACCATGAATATGTATATGTTTGCTGGGGTCTGGAAACAAATGCTAGCCTTTTCTAAAGCTCTATTGTTTTAAAAATTATGAAGTTTAGATAGATAGATATAGATATAGTGAGCCTCTTTCTTTTTAAACCTTTCTGTTTTAGTCCTCTATTGTTAAAAAGTGTGTCAGAAACAATCGAGGTTCGAAGCAGGTTCAAGTTTCCAAATATTCTTTGGTTCTCTTCGCTAAACCGATGAAAGGAAAAGACGACAGCTATATAAGGCATATGGACGTTCAAAAAATATAAATCCGTTAACCATATATTTCTTTAGCTTTCCTTACGATATTTTCTATTAGAATACTGGTTTTCAAATATGCGAGGTATCAAAGTTGTGTATTTGGAATACGGAAGTGTATTTTGGAATATTTTTATGCATCGCATATCGCTATCGCACTCTGACAGTTTTTTATGAAAGTTAATTAAAGGAAACAACAAAAGTGTATATGTTTTACAATTTTTGTTTTATTTAATTAAAAAATACTACGCACTTCCTTGGCAAGAACGTGACATGATTAATAATTTGTCAAAAGTTTTTAAGGAATAGTAGAGATGTAAGAAACGACCCTTAGCAGCTTTCTATATCACAACAGTATGGCTTCTCTTCGAAAAAGGTCATATGAAGTTAAATACTATCTGCGTAATACAACTTCGTGACTATTTATAATAACGATAGTTTAGTTCTTTACCATTTAAAATGAATTTCGTGCAACCTTTGGGCTTCTAATGGCCAAATTGTTTCTCACTCAGCTTAATTGGTTAAATTTATCTGATATTGTGCAAACAAAAATAATTTTCCTTTTGTGTCCGTATCCCCAAATAAATTAATCCTAATTGGCATGCAAATTAAGGCAATTCAATTTAGTTAAATTTCTCCGCGGTAATTAATAAAAACTCTTGCGAAACGATGCTTAAATGCATTTAACAACTGGCACCAAAAACGAAATCGAGCTTAAGACTCGTAAAACTGACTATAATTTTTACTCCGTTAGTTCTTTTCTACGGCAGTAACCTTTGCGACGGCGAATGTCAAGGATATTTTTACAACCGTTCTTTCTAGGCGCAATTACATGCAAACTGTAACCAGATCCGTATCTTTTAACTTATACACCCGTGCGCTAGCGAACTCTTCGTCCAACAATAAGAGATGAAAAGCCGGAAGAAGCAGCCAGCGTGAAATTCTCCTGTACGGACACAAATTTCTTGGGAATACGCTCTGCTGCATGAAGTATATCGTTCGTAAAACACAGAATACTATAAGGTTAGTTTTCTTATTGTGTAGAACATAAAACCGTTCCTTGACATTTAATGTCCAGCAACCGGCCAGTAAATTTGTAAATTGAGAATTAACGTTGACAAATTTGATGTACCTACTAAGAATCAAGGAATTTACAAAATAACATTGTTCTAGGAAGGAAATGCAGTCATTTTATCATAGTTTTGGTTATTTTCCTTTCGAAAATTGAACCGGGGAGGCTTTTACTTGTTGAAAATCCAAATGTCACATTTGATAAAGACACGGTGTTGTCGAAACAATTGTCATGTCAAAATACATAATTTCGTGAAAATCTGAACTTTTTGTTTCACTGTAGGCAGAATCAGGTCTCTGATTTGTTGTTGATTTGCTTCGTATCGCTAAACGCGGATAGATTAGCCAGCCGCGTTCGGTAATTTCCTGAGACCGCTAGGAGTGATTAAGATTGTTCGTTTGTTACATCTATATGCAGATAGATGAAGAAAAACTAACTAAAACTGCACCATTCGACAATTAACATCGGAGCGATCTAACAGCTCAGAAAATTTTTATGGAAAAAAAAACAGATTAATTTCAATTTGTGAGGTTAGGTACAAAACAAACGCTTTAATTGTAAGGAGTTATTTTCTTTTGTTTTTTTTTTAATATAACTTTTAAAACAAAATAATTGAGGTGGTTAACAATTTTTCAAATATAAAATGTGTCATTTGACATTTGAAGATTACTGAAATCCGTCATTTCTAAGATGTAATTACTGACATGAACTAATAACCACCACAGAAAAATAAAATAGAAATGTATGTCTCAAGAAGATGTTGAAAAAATGCATGTTTAGACAAAACATATCACTGCTTCAAGACCGCAGTGTCAAGACAAATTATAGTAGCGATTAGCAATAAGATAATGCGTATTCTCGTATTGTCTGAGACTTATTTATAATCTTCACCTTTTTGCATTTTTGGTAAATCTAACTCTAAATCTAAATCTTGTATTACCCTAATATAATTATAATGGTGTTTGATAAACTCAAGTCGGTAAAACATTAAGGCTGTACATAAGAAACGATATATATATCCTTTTACTTTAAATTTTCTATTTTCAGAAAATCATTTTTCAGGTTAACTTTTTCTGAAGCTGTTTCCCAATTTCTGTCCTTCCCATATAGCTAACAGAGATCTATATCTCTCTTAGCTATGCTCTGTATACGCCGATGATACAGGAACCTCTCAAGCAACTATGAAACATATTTTGAGAATTTCCATTCATAATGTGCATGCGCTAGATTAAAAATCTCGGTTATAACCAATGACCTTGCGGCATTCAACAACCTAATAAGTTTCGATGCAGCAATATTCGAAATATTAAATGTTAAGTACGTAGAAATGACTGTTTAGAAAGAAAATGGCAATCATTCCCCTTTCTACGAAAATATCAACCTGCGGGTATCAATTTTCACCATAGTGAGGTTCCAATACTGACTTGACTTTAATGCCTAATTTCGCCAGTTCACCTCCTACAAATCGTTTCACTTAGACAGTAGCACAGTAACACAATATGCTTTTCTGCCATATCTTCCTTTTTTTGTGGTTAACGAGTGGATAATTTCTTCCTCCTCCAAGATGGTGTTGGAGTCTTCTCCATACGTCGTGAATGATAGCTTGCGTTGTTTATAACTACTGAATCCACCGAAAGATATATTCTCATTTCACCAAAATAGTCCTCAAAAACTTAAAGCAAACCTCTCTTCGAAAATCTCTGTTTGGTTCCAATATGGATGATTATTAGTCTCCTGAAGGCACCTTAATACACGTTCACATATCTTCCATGAAAACTTCGCGAGGATTGGTTATATTTTTGTCTTAACACATTCTCTTCCTCCTATGTGCCTTTCTCTTGAAGTTGACGACCACCACCTCAAATTCTTCTCTGTTTTGAGTCTTGTATAGCAGACGTTTTCCGCTGATGTGTGCCCAGTTTCTTGTATTTTTTAACCACGCTTTCTTTTTCCCTACAAGTTAAAGCTTGTTCGTATTCTGTTATGTCTTCTTATTTAAGATTCCATATTTCATATCCATACAGGAACAGGGCCCATATATAATATTGTGTTCAAAGTCTTATTAATGAATCCGGTTCTGGCGATTCTAATGTGTTTTCTGACCTCTTTTGAGGGGACTAGGAATTTACTTCTTGGTGCTATAGAACCTTCAATCAATACTACATAATATTTCTCAAGTAATATTTTACAGCTTTCATGTAAAAGTGTTTTACTGTAATTACTTTTTCTAGCCAATATCATGTTTTCTAAAATGACCAAACTCCATTAAAATTTTAAATTTGGGTGGATATTGCTTTTATAAAATAAATAGAGTCAGCTCTTATTACATTTATATAGAAAAAATTGTCGTTCGGGGGTAACAATATTGATAAACTGACCCTCAAGTACTTAGGGATGAAAGTACAAGTGCTGTCCGACACGTGTGGTATTTTCCCAATAAGTTTTATGAACCGGCGACCGTTCAACATTTAATAATACCATTAAAGTGATAAAATCACAATAGACGGTTGACCTTGAGAATTTGCGATTTTGGCACATGCTTCCCATCGCGTCGGCATTGCCAACATTATCTGTGGCCAAAGAGCGTGTAGTAGAGAGGACGGGTCAAACACACCGCGTATATCCGTTCCTTTTTGGGAGATAGAAATGACACTGCAATGGAAATAGTCGACGCGTCTATCGGTTTATCAGATACCGATTCGTTTCGCCGTTAATTTTCTTGTTTGTTCTTTGTTGTTTTCAACTGTGGAGTTAATTACAAACGGGTGACAATGTACTCAATGAGCGAGGTCGAAGAATACAATTTGATGCGTTAATCTGACTTAACCATAAAATGACAAGCCATTTTGGTCGTTGATTTGTAAGATTGTTTAAATATTCGAGAATATAATTTTCGGCAAAGGCTTGGATGAAGTTGTTTTTATTTGAGAAATTTTGTCTACTTTCACTCAAACAATAATAATAATAATAAATACCTTTATTGCTTAGTAGAATTAATAGCTTTAAACGTTTTAATGTATTTTTTAAGCTGCTTATGAACTTTTGCATAGTTTGTCTTACCATAATTATCCTTTTGAAAAAGTTTTATCCCTCCCCCAATAGGCATTTGGAACTACCTTAGAGATGCACCTTTTGCAGAAGAACAATTTGGGTGGGGTTCTTTCATAAAAACAAAAAGAAGAATAACCACAAAAAATCTTTAGTTTTAAGAACATTTTGATTTATTTTAATTTTGCAATAAATTCTAATATTCATTATCACAAATTGCCACTCGAAATTGGGTACGAACGTATTTCAAATGAGCGTGTTAATTATGTGCACATGACATACATTAATTTTTGTTTCCCAAACAAAAATGTATGACAAAATTTTGAACCGAATTTTGACACAAATTAATCAACAGGTGGCGTAATTCGGTAGGAATGAATAATTGCTTTAATTTCGTCGGTTTGAGCTTTTTTTTTCAGATACTCCGGTTTCACGCCCACCGAAACGTATACGCCTAGTGACTTTATCAATTAATTTGTTACGTAGATCGAGACCGATGAACTTGTATGAAAAACAGTGTGGCGGATTTAAATTTTGCACATTAACTGGATATGATTAAAAAATAATTGAACTGTTGCAATTTATCGAATTAATATTGAGTGCTTGCTATTTGACGAATACGTATATAAACAAGAAGTATACAATTGTATCGTGATATAAGCAAAATTGTAATGTATACTAAATATTTCTTTACAGATGGGTAATTCTATTGTAACGGGAGTTACGTTTAATCTAATTTACTCAGGGTGATTCATAAAGAATAGGCAATCCCTGAACTGGAGATACTAGACATGACGACTGAGGTACAGGGCGTTAAAATTTTTAATTTAATCCTGGGTGTTCTCATTAAAACATTATCAGTTTTAGGTTATTACGATTACGATTACAATTACGAATTTGAAACTTTTATGAACCACAGTTATATATTTTTGTAAGATTATTTCTGTGTTGAAAATATGTTTGTAAAGAATTTTGTGTTTATTTAGAAGATTCATTACACGGTTTGTAATTGTTTGACGAATACTAATTCTTATTATTAAAAAATTCTTTGGAACATTTCACGAAATGGTTTATATCAAATTATACAATTTTACAGAAGAAATTTGGCAACAGTCCTATATCAAACGATGATGTAAAATTTAGCTTAAATTTCTTAAAGATTAATTTTATCTGTACTATTTTTATAAATTATAGGGAAATAAAAAATGAATGTAAACAATTAAGTTTTTTATTGGTCGTTATACAGAAGAAAACCACCACTTCACAACGTGAATTGCTTAACTGTTGAAAATGCAACTTTATTACATATGTTCCGCTAAAATTATTAACAAAATACATATTCATAAGTATGGGCTAAGGCTTCCCGTCTGGTCCCGCAAAATTCATATTTTGGCGGTAAAATTTAGGTTACAATCGCGTCGGCAGCACAGTAGGAGGGAATTTGATCTTTTTTATCTATGATTTTATTGAAGAAATAATTGACCCGTTGCAATTTATCAAATTAACGTTGTGCCATCTGTAACTATAAACAAAAAGTATATAACTAATATATCCTAGTATAAACAAAATAATAATTTGTAATAGGTAACTTTTTTCACGAATGAAACTATTTTTGAATTAATACAAAGTGATCAGACCGTTGTCAGCGATCGATAAGTAACACCGAATTAGATTGGTATATTTACTCATGTCGCACATACATTTAATTTAGTCAAGTGCATCCGCGAAAAAAAAAAATAAAAACGACACTATATCCATTACGATTTGTCAAAGTATAGTTACAACGTTTACCAAAAGTTAGCGATGCGTGACCTCGCTGGAGGTATGATTAGAAGGGACTGTAGCCTATTACCGTAATTATAATTTAAACTCTGTGCAATTTTGACGGCCATCCGCGCAATTTGGGAGTCAACTTGTACATCGGGTGTCACTGATCTACGCCTATCGTTAAGTTTTTTTTACAAAATTTCTAAACAGTGGCCTTGAAACACTAACACAGAAGTAAAAGGAAAACCCGTAAAAAATACGAAATAATATGCACAATAGTAATATAAATAAAACCGCAAAAAAAAACAAATTACACTAATTTCTAAATAAACACAAAAATTTTATATATAAATAACCATCACATATTCCCAGTAAATATTTAAATGGAATTTAACACTTTTAAAATTTTTTGACGTTTCTGAATTACGTAATATTCTTTGGCGGATTATTGCAAACTTGGCATCCTTGAAAAATTTGATCACACAGCCCTGATAAACATGTGCCAGTGACCTAATATTGTCTCCATGAACATCCTTATTAAACATAATATTAGTATTCCATTTTTGTGTTTTATTCAATATATCAATTACATACATAGATTCACATTGCTCAAACTTTAATAATGTATCTAACTAAACAACAACATTTACCCATCTATAAAGATCACCAGTGTAAATATAATCGATTGAATAGAACCAATTTTTTTAAAACTTTAGTCTAATACCGTACCGCAGATTCCCCAAACTCGTGGCAAGTATGGAAAATGTTACAAGAAACGTGGGTCCATCGCACTAATCATCATACTGTTTTGCTAGATATATGGTCAATATGATCATTCCAATTGAGGTTCTTAACAATAAGTTACTTATTCAATGTCTAAATTTTTAATTTGTTACCTAATAACCAATATGCACCATCATTTTGTTGTATTGCGTATGGTATAATTGTAATTCTGTAAAGAAGCAATATAGATTAAATAAAATTAGTCGTCGGAACAGTTCGAGTCTTTGCTATAAGTATCATCCAAGAGTGTAATTAATGGTTTTACATTTTCCTAAGTTTTTTATATTTATTTTCCACTTTAAGTATATGATTAACACATTCTCCCCAACTGATCTCTGGTTTTAATTCACATTTAGTTTTAATTACATTCATTACATGGGAGAACATTTTTTGATTTATATTATTGCGTCTAATTTTGTTTTTGAATTCGGTGCCATATCAATTCTACAGAAATCAAGTAGGAATGATAAGGTGATAAGCTAATGGGTATATTACTAGATTTTTTTAGGACCTCGTCTTCGAAATAAGTTTTATCATGGGATTTGGTTCTGAAAACTTCAACTAATTGTTTGCTTTTTTTATCGTGAACTATTACATTGCCTGGTGCGTTTTAATTTTTTAATTTTCAAAAAGTAGCAAACAATTTTCGTCTAGATGCAGTTCGATGAAGAATTTTGCCACCTTTTCTTTGTACTGTTGAACCAAGTATCGTTTAAATACTACATTTTTCTAGGCGAAATTGATGATGATTGACATTTTTGTATTTATTGCACCGATAATTGATCTCTTTAATGCAACTACGCTAGTGAATATTTTTAAATTTAATTTTTTTAATTTCTGTTTAAAGATGCAAGTGAAGCAATCTGATTCCTCTCATCATTACTAAAATAAAAGTAAAAGTACATTCCTGTAGTGATAAACGCTTGTAAATTGGCTTTCTATTGGGCCTTTTAAAGGGCCCTCCTTCTTTTATGATCGGCCAAGCGAGTCATAATCATTTATCGTGTGCTCGGCTATACCACCGTATACCAAAGCAGTGTCATCCTTAAAAGTGTAGGAGCGTGCTTGCAGTATTTAAGACTGAGAATGTATAAAGAATAAAAGAGTGGCTCGTTTGGTTCCTTTCCACTTGCAAATTTCTCTATCTAATAAAAACGATCTGATATGAGTGTATTAAACCCTCTGTTGTTTAACTTTTCCAGTAAAATAGCAATAATTATAAGAGACAGACTTTTTTGAGATCTACCAACAAAGCCATAACACTATTTTTTTGTTATAACACTTAGACTAAATTTTAATGAAGTTATATTGATATGCATCAGCACTAATACGTTGCTTTAAAAAAAAAAAGGGTAATTAAAGCGAAAGTATAGCAAAATACAAGTCAACGGTTTATAATTTTTATTTTTAAGGTAAAGTCAGATACGAAAAACCCGAAGGAGTGAAAAAGTGTTGCTTTTGACTATGTGATCGAAAAAACATTAAATCTTTTAAACGTCACTGTCGTACCACTCAAATTAATAATTTTATTTTAATTACACAGAATGAAGATCATTGTCATGACAAATACTCATACTAAGTGATGGAAATCTCAGCGAAAAGACTTTTTTCTACTCCCGTCTGTAAAATATCTAATTACCCACCGATCTAGCCACGGATTTGGGAGCAATCGTATGTTTTCGGAGATATTTCCCACGATTGACGTTTGTCAATTCTGACGGTCCTGTCAGTGAATGTATTCGTGTTGTTTTGCGAAAATGTACCCAAAAACTAAAGGTCGTAGAAAAAGTATATTATGCAACACCTTCGGTAATCTTTTAAACTCACTCGTTTATTAAAAACTCGCTCCGCTCGTGTCAAATAAACTCGTGAGTCAAATGCCGTTTACCGTACTTGTTGCAATAATATACTATTGAGAAATGGAGAAAAAAAATTGACCGCCTGTATTTAGAAAACAAAACGAGTTAGAATAAATATTTACCAGCCCTCAAAATTTTCGCATTGAATTTTGAAACATCCTGTATACACTGTCAGTCACCCTTATAAACCAAATTAACTATAATTAAGGTCACACATTTCAAGCATTTCTAGCATTTTTACCCCACCCCTGATGGGCTCGGTATAATCCCGAAGAGATAGTTGCATATATTAAAATGCTATTGTGCACACGAGCTATGTGCTGCCGTGATCGTTAAGTAAATTGATTGGTAACGGATATTGAAATTTATTTTTTGAGACGTGTAATTTTAATTCTCTGTTTTTATTGATGTAATCCAATACCGCTAGAAGTTTTAATAAACTCCACGTACACCTTGTAGTAAATTTCCGCATTCCGAACGTAGCGATTAACTTTTTATCTTCATGTTATATAATATACAAGCGAAGCTGAAAAGTACAAACTCGAAGTAGAATGCTTCTGTCAAACAGACAGAATATTTTTCTTGACTACATTTCATTAAGGTACAAATAACATGTCATAATAAAAGACCATTGAAATAATATGTAACATATAAATAATATTAAATATAAGACATATAATCAACATCAATTTTTAGACATATTCAGACATTTATTATTGAACTCAGATGTGAAGTGTGTAAAAAATTATCTTCAGTCTTATAAATTTCGAACAATTGATGATGATTATATTGGGAAGATAAAGTTCGGATTTTTAATTTTATAATAAATAGGTTACAGTGTTTATGAAAAAGAAAATAATAATCATTCAAGGTATCGTGAAAAGTTATACCCAATATGCTTTGTTTTCCTCCCGTACTATATAATTTGCAGTGTGTGAGAAATTATCTTTCTCCTTAGAAATGTCGAACAGCTGATGATAATAAAATTGGGAAGATAAAGATCGGATTTTTAATTTTATAATATATAGGTTACAGTATTTATGAAAAAGAGAATAATAATCATTCGAGATATTGTGAAAAGTTATACCCAATATACAATGCTTCTTTCAGAAACCATTAATACATATAATAAATATTGAAGGGCCTAATATAGAGTTGCGAGGCACTCCACTGAAGAAGTTTATCAATGTAATCCATATTATGCTTAATCAAGAACTATTCAAAGTAACAGACAAAACAGTGTCGCACGTTTTGTAGGTAAATCTGGTTAGAATTAGGAGGAAATTAATTTGATTGTGCAATTTTATTTTGTTTCGCGTTATATTCTTATGGGAACTGTTTTACAGCGATTTGACTTGCAACGCAAATGTTACAAAAAATTTTGATTAACCCAAATATATGCCTTTCTCAATTGAATTCGTGACAATTTTGATTAAAATGGAATAAATAGCAAGATATACAGTGCATATGAACAATCCATTTGTGGATTTAACTGTTTAAAACTTTTTTTTAGTAAGTAAGTAAATGTCTTCGAAATTTCGAATTCTAGTTACCTCAAAGTCAACTTGAGCAAAAAAAAATAATAATAATAATCAATCGGTATTCTGAATTGAAATGCTTTTCTCAAACAAAAAAAAATTGTTTTAAAATGCCTACAATCATTAATTTAGAAAGCTTAAATTCAAAAATATTAGTGATGGAAAGATTGGGGACTGAAAAAATCACAAATTTTAAAATAACTTAAAA